CTATTAATATTTATGGATACGAAATCAGTTTTCCCCAATTCATTGCTTGACAATCTCATGCCACTAATCACAGGTTATATATTCGAAGGGAAGGTTATAGAACGTAGTTTTGTTGTCTAGCTGGGGGGATTGTCATGTAATGATTAGTTCTACGATCGTAGATCTTCATAATAATATATGTGGGTGCATCGAATCGAGAACTTAATCACCTTAATTTTAGTTTCATTCGACTCAAAGTTCAGTTCGTTAGACTTGCAGTTGGACTGTAGACTCTGATATAAATATATTTTCAAATACTAATTTGATTGTTGTTTGCAGCGGAGAAAGATCTTCTCTATCCCAAGGACAACCAGGAATGGTTTATACGTTTCCTGCGTCCCTGCAAGTATTATCCGGACAGCGCCAGAGATTTGGTAGGCATTATCCTAAATAACAATTTGATCATCGCTTATCTTTCGATTCTTCTCGCAGATCAAACGCTATTACTCCTTCAAGGTGAAGCACTCGGATGTGTACAACAACTTGAAGCCCTCGGGTGAGGCCAACATCTTCCAGAGCAACATTCTGACAGTCTTTCCCAATCGCGATCAGTGTGGACGTCGCGTTCTGGTACTGGAGCTGGGCAGTAAGTGGCACTGGTTAACCCAGCGTTATGGTTTCTAATTTGTCATTTGCCTTTGACAGAACGCTGGAAGCACAAGCAGGTCTCACTGGATGAGGTGTTCAAGGGTGCGGTCATCTTCCTGGAGGCAGCCATGCTGGAGCCCGAGACCCAGATACACGGCGCCGTCGTCATCTTCGACATGGATGGCCTGAGTCTGCAGCAGACCTGGCAGTTCACTCCGCCTTTTGCCAAGCGCATAGTAGACTGGCTGCAGGACGCGGTGCCGCTGCGCATCAAGGCTATACACATTGTGAATCAGCCGAAAATCTTCAACGTGGTCTTTGCCCTCTTCAAGCCATTCCTGCGTGAAAAGCTGCGCGGCCGCATCATTTTCCATGGCACGGATCGCGACTCCCTGCACAAGTACATGTCGCCCAAGTGCCTGCCCCCTGCCTATGGAGGTATCCTCGAACTCAAGCGCGTTAACGGCGATGAGTGGTATAAGCTGCTCCTCAAGTGCGACAAGGAGTTTGATGCCATTAACTCGTATGGCTATAAAAAGAAGTAAAGCGATTGCTCCAGCAAGGGTCTTCAGCAAGTGATAATTTACCCAATATGCCCAGATAGTGTCCACTTCACAGTAACAGTCACAATTACAGTCACACCTATGTACACTTACGAATGATTTAGGCATATAATAGTTAAGCACTCAGTCTGTTATACGCTTGTCCCGCGACCCGTGACAGCGCCTAGAGTTTGCCGTAGTCTTAATCGATTCAATTCCAATCCAGCAAAAGTGTTATACATACTCGTACATATTATATATTTAATCCGGGGTAAGCGTATTTATATTGTGTTAAAATACTTATTATAAAAATTGTTGAAATATAAACACACGTATCCATATAAAGCATTTCTTTTGGAGACTGTTTTATGGAATCGAAAGAGATTCTATAACAGCTTTTCGGGTGTCTCGTTACTTAAATCTACTCGTTAGTGTATTCCAAATATATTTCACAACTTATTCAGACAGTGCATAAAAGAAAAATACATCAACTGCATTGTGTTCTGCTCCTTTTTAAGGCACTTATATATATTATATATAAAATGCAGGGGAGGATACAGGTTAAGGCACCAGCAGATACATAAACCTCTGAGTTTGGAAACTATACACTGTAAACAGGGGGCAAATGTCAGCTTCAATTTCCTTTAGTTTCTGTGACTGAACTGCTTTACAGCACACAAAATAATTTCAGAATAGTATCAAAAATATCATAAGAGAGTTACTTAATACAAATCATTGTGGTGGATCATTGTACTGCAAAATCTTCATACAATCTTCATCTCTTATACGAGTACTCGTATCTAACTTCATTTATAATATTATTCGCACCCTTAGGCATAATCGATACAAATTGTACGTCATATCGAATGACTTTTTGGTCGACTCCTTGTCTCCTCCGTTGTGGAATGTGCACAGCGTGTGGTTCAGAGCTCGTCCTTGAGCTTGAGGCGAACCCTTAACCGCTTGGTTAAATTAAGCGTAAATTCCCGTGACATGACAGCTTCGATGCTCATAGTCGGTAATTGGTAGCTGGCGCCTTTGGTGCACTGCGTTTCTGTCCAAACAGTTTTTTGGATGGGGTGCGCATGGCAGCGTCATCGCCGTCGCCATCCCCATCACCGTCTTTATTGATGCCGCCACCTCCTGTGCAGCAGAGGCGCCGTTGCACGAGGCGTATGGGTCGTGTCAAGTCAATGGTGTCGCCATTGTGGCGAAGCTCAGCCTCGGCCACACACTCCAAGTGCTTCCACTGGCGCAGACCGAGCACAAAGGCGTCGCTCACATTCATCGCTGCCTTCGAGGAGGTCTCTATGTGGGAGGCAATCTGTTGCTCCGCACACCACTGCTGGACACTTTCGTAGCTGACCTGCCGCTTGTGTGGCTGGATGTCGCTCTGCGCGGAAGAACAAATTGCTGGGAAATTACTTTTATATGTGGCTGTTTCAATGGGCTATTCCACTCACCTTGTTGCCCACCACAATGAAGGGAAACTTGTCCGCCTCCACGTCGGCATAGTTAAGAAACTCGTTGCGCCACAAACCCAATCCCCGCAGACTGTCCCGGTCGTCGAGGGCATAGCAGAGCAGGCAAATGTCCGATCCCCGATAGAAGGGAGTGCGCAGTGCCCGAAAACGTTCCTGTCCAGCCGTATCCCATATCTAGCTTGTGCGAAAACAAAGAAAATGCATCAATTAAATTCTGGTTGAACCTTCAATTAGATTCATATTGAAATTTGCTTTCGTTTCTTTCGTTTCTTAGGTATGCATTTGCTACCTTGGCCAGAAATCACCGTCTACACTGACTCATATCATGCCTTACTATTTGCTCTGCAAATATTTGATATCAGAGGTTGTCTCTGCCACAAAATCCAACCCAAGGGATTGATAACGAAGTGCCGCAGATAAGTAAATCAAAACAAACAAAATAAATAAGAAGCAATGTCTTTTTCAGTTATTTGTTTTTACAATTTGCCCCCGCAGTTCGACTTTCATGGCAAGCTCTGTCGGTTCCTTGGAACATTTCGGAGTTTAAGCAAGGGGAAAATACACGTCTTTACTGGCAATAACCCCTAGCATTAAACCCATACTTGGAGAGAATTTCCTGTTTTGTATTTGCTTTTTGGCATGAGAAACGTTGGATTCCCGCTTCTTGTTGTTGCACAGATTCGGCGAACCGTGAACCGGCATTCTTTTCCAGAACTTACCACGTGGGGAATGGGGAATGACAAACCACAACAAAGTTTCAACAAATATTTCTGCAATTTTCCTCAAATATGTAACATTCCCCAAGCACTACTCATACAAGCTGAGATTCTATTGCTTTCCAATGAATCAATTGCATTCATTAAAATCATTAATACATTCTTTTGCCATTTACTGCACTTTGCTTGCTCACTGAGACGCGCCGCCGCTCTCCATATTCATAAGCTTCTCTCAAAACTGTTGTTTGTTTTGTTTTTTTTTTTAATTTCCATGTTTCTATGGCAGCATAAAGGGAAAAACAAACTGGGAGCAGAAAACAAAACGCGACGAATGATGAAACACTCTGATGTCGAGCAAAGGAACTGTTTTTATTATTTTCTTTTCATTCTTTATTTTTTGCAATGCCTAACTGTATGTTAATTGAGCACAAATTGTGGTAGTGTGTGTGTGCATAGGGGGCTTAGATGAAACAAATACAACTACGAACTCAAGTACTGTGGATGGCACAGAGCGGAAAACAATGCTCGATCGTTGTTTAACTTTTAAACGCTTGCGCTGACCGCTGAACGCAAAAAAAAAAAACGTTGTCTACGTGTGTAACAGTTACGATCACACCACTCCACTGACATTTGAAGAACTCTACTAAGATCATCATGGATCGTAACTAATAGCTTCTATCTAGCGAAATATCTTTGGAAACGAAAGGGATCTTCGCTTCACTTGACGATTTCTTCAGCCTTCAAGCTCACCCAACTGTAGCGAAATATTCTGTGGCCAGAACCAAACCCACCTGCAGGGTGTACCGCTCCCCGTCGACCACGATATCCTTGTTCATGAACTCGACGCCAATCGTATGGAAGTTGTTCTCCTCATAACGGTTCGATACGAAGCGGGTGAGCAGGGCAGACTTGCCCACGCCCCCATCGCCCAGTATGACGACCTTCAGCAGCTTGGATTTCTGCGGTGGGCGCATATTTGTCATTTTGTTTATTTTTCTTCCACAATTAAGCCCGGCAACGGTGTGTAGGATTTGCTTGAACTTTTTCTTTACAATTGCGCAGCTAGCAAAGCCCTCCGCTTTGGTGACATGTGATTACTTTTCAATTTGTTAGATGCACCCACGATTTTGAGTCGACTTTCTATCACTTTTTCAGATGCATAAATTGTACACTCTTCTAATAACAGCAATTAGGGTAATGGAAAAAATGTAAATGAAAAAAATTCGAAACGGAAAACCGCGCTGCGGGACAAGTTGAATTCGGTTGGGTCGAGCGGGCGGTGAATGTCAGCTGACGACTAACAGAGAGGAGAGCACGAAGGAACGTGGTAGCATAGCCGAATTGTTTGACAGGTACTTTGGTGGCCTAAGTTGTTTTCCACCCGCTCCCAGATGGCGGAAGTTGATACAGAATCGCATAAGCGGAAATTGTTTTGAAGAAATAAGTGCAAAGTATAATGAATTAGCAATCACTCTCACTTTGTAACAACACTCAACGTGCTAGAGAGAGCGAAAGAGCTGGTTTGATGGGTCGCACCTTTACATTTTACTACCATGCGGGAGTGTGCCCACCAGCTGAAAGTGCCGCTAACAGAGAGCTTTTAGAGTGACCAAAAAAAAAGCTGAGACCTGTTACTTTACAATTTAATGTTTTAATTGAAGCGACAAATTATCTTGTCATTATAAGTCTTCGTCGATTTAATCACAAATAAATATCTTACGAGTACAGACAGCTTTTAGCCCTTGATAACAGCAATGGGACGCATTTTGATGCACTTCTTGCTAATGCCCGCAGCGTGACAGGTGTCCACGACATCGGTTACATCCTTGTACGACTCGGGAGCCTCCTCCATGACTAGCTTGGGAGAGGCTACGCGTATGGCAATGCCGCTTTGCTCGAGCTTGTCCAGCACCTCCTTGTAGTCAAGATTACGGCGGGATTTGGCACGTGACAAGGCGCGACCCTAGAAGAAGTCGTAAAGTGATGAGATATGGACACAGCTGAGAGATTGGGATTTAGCTTACAGCTCCGTGGCAGGTGCTGCCGAAGGTCTCCTTCATGCCCTGCTCTGTGCCAGTCAGCACGTAGCTGCAGGTGCCCATGGTGCCGCCCACGAGTACGGGCTGGCCAGTCAGCTGGTAGTCCACAGGAATCAGTGGATGGTGAGGAGGAAAGGCGCGCGTGGAGCCCTTGCGGTGGACGAGCAGCTTGCGCTCTTTGCCGTCCACCATGTGGTTCTCCACCTTGGCGATGTTGTGGGAGACATCGTAGATGACATGCATGTCGAGATCGTCTGGAGTTGTGTTAAACATCTTGGCAAATGCCTGGCGTGTGAGGAAGGTCATGGAGCTGCGGTTGACCCAGGCGAAGTTGGCAGCCGCTGCCATGGCCTTGAGGTAGTCCTGTCCCTCAACAGAGTTGATGCGGGCGCAGGCCAGCTGCCGATCGTTGGTCTCTATCTTGTCGCGTTTCATGGCCTTTTCCATTTGAACCAGCGCATCGGTGGCCACTTGGTGACCAAAGCCACGGCTTCCTGAGTGTATCATGACGACCACTTGGCCCTTCTCTTCGATGCCCATCTTGGAGGCGCTCCACTTGTCGTAGATTTCGTCCACCACCTGAATCTCTGCATAGTGGTTGCCCGCGCCCAAAGTTCCAAGCTGCGGCAGGCCACGCTTCTTAGCCCGCATGCTAACCTTGGCGGGATCAGCGTTCAGCATGCGGCCGTACTCCTCGCAGTGCTCCTTGTCCTCGGCCCAGACGTAGCCCTCGCGCAGCGACCAGTCCATTCCCATTTCCAGGGCCTCCTCCAGATCGCGTGCGTTCATTGGAATGATGCCCTTTGAGCCCACGCCCACAGGTATGTGGTCGAACAGAGACTGTGCCAGCTGCTCCTTCACCGGCTGCACATCCTTCTCGTAAAGATTAGTGCGCAGCAGGCGGACACCGCAATTGATGTCGAAGCCAACGCCGCCAGGGCTCACTATCGACAGGGGATTATCCATGTCAAATGCGGCCATGTTCCCGATGGCGAATCCATAGCCTGAATGTATGTCGGGCAGGCCGATGGAGCGACCCACAATACCTGGCAGGGCGGCCACATTTGCGATTTGCTTGACGCCGGGCAGGAAGCCACCCACTGCTCCCGGACGGCACGAGTTCTTCAATTCCTCCAGCATGAGTTGCTCCAGGCGCCTGTTCACATAGAAGCAGCCCTCGACGTTCATGTTCGGCTGGAAGCCCTTCTTGATCCGCCAGCAGTGGTCGTTGATCTTCTCCAGATACTTGAGCTCATCATTGTAAGAGCGAACCACCATTGTGAAATCCTTGCCGTACTTTTTAATTAATCCAAAAACATTAATTTAATTTCGCAAGAATTCCGGCTAGTGTGACCGCGAGTATCGATAAAATATATCGACAGACAATAGGAAATATACCGAAATATACCCTTGCATCTTCAAAATATACTGTAAATATACCGTAATCTTAAATAATTATCCTCGATTTTGCTGTTTTATTTGATATTTAATTGTTGGTGTTTTTTCCGTTTTTGTTTTGAGGTAATTTAAAATGTTACTTAGAACACTCAGGGGGTCTTGAAATATGCATGGTAATATTTATAGTAGTCTTGCAGGTAAGCTGGTGGTCCGTAGATTTTCAATTCACTGTTGATCAGGTCGCTAATCAGAAAGCTCAGGTGCGGACACTGCTGCGACAGCTCCTCAGGCGAGAACGGCAATATTCCGAGAATTGTTATATGGATGAGTTTTAAGGCCGGCATCTTTCTGAGTATATTGTATTGCAGATAAGATTCACCCGTCTGATTGTGCACATGCAGCAGAGCCAGCGCCTCCATCTTATCCGCCGACTCCAAGAGACGTGTTATCTGATAGTCCCGCACATCACAGTGACGCATGTCCAGGAAGAGCAGAGAGCTTGCAACTTTACACACAGCGTTCACGATATCGGGCGACCACTTGGCATGATCTAATTTGAGCGCATGTAGGCGGAGACTCTCCGACGCCCCTTGGCACAGGGGATTCAGGTATTTAAGGATATCTTTGTCGCTGGTCGAGTAACCCACCGTTATGTGCAGGCTGTTCAAATGGCGACCCAGTAACAGCATAAGCCCCTCATTAAAGGCTGGGGGGTGCCGCATGCTGAACTGAAAGTATCGAAATCGGTGCAGTTGCCGTTCAATGGCATCATCGAAACGTCTATTTAGTTGATTAAAAAGCGGCAGTAGCTCATCGAATCCAAAATGTAGTAAAATATCGTCCAAACAGTCGTCGTGGAGTTGCAAGAGATTCATCTTGGGTTCTTCTGAAATAAAATGGTAGTTCAAAACACTCTTAAAATAAGAACAGTTACGAAAACTTTGTGAGAAAAACACATTTTTGGCGCGTCAATTTGTATTAGTCCGGTGGTTGGTTTCTAGTACTGGTATTGAAGAGTGGTGTTGTGGAATACGAACTGTCAGCCAATAGTTCGGTTCGCGATAGTATCGTTCAATCAGCTGGCCCCCCCAACCACTGCTTATATATGTGTGTGCGTGTTGATGTTGTATTGTTTATGGCCGCCGCCGCCGCTCCAAAATTAGTGATTCATATAAAACTCGTCTCCAACTCGCGGCGAAACTCACGTATCACGTAGAGACAGAAATTATTTTCAATTCCAAGAGCAGAGCTCAAACTCCACGATTCGCAACGGCGGAGTGCTAGTGAAAAGTGTTTGCGTGGATTAATATTTTCGTGTTGGCTTGGTTTCTACCATCAATCAAAATCAATTAGGCACTCGTGTGCTGGTGCCGAATTCTTTCAGTCAACTGTGCGGCAACATCCCCATTGGAAATTGGAGCAGCCACACACACACACACACACACACACACACAATCCACAGCAAATACAATGGATGACTTAGGTGAGTGAACCACTTCCCCACCACCACAGCAAAACTTCTTGCAAAAATTCCGTCAGTGCATAGCATACATACCTAAACCACAAACTTATGCTGCTGCTCAAGGTCAGTTGCGTGGCGGACAGTTAATTAGCATTCCAGGCTGGTGACAGCCATAGACAACGGTTGCCAGCCAAGTGGCGATGAATAATTTTGGACACTGGATTCTTATCTTGTTAGACCAGCTACATATGTGATTACCAATCTTAATTTTTGTTTCTTATTGGCATGTACTAACTGGGGCATAGCTACATTTTGAATTTTGCATTCCTTGCTTTGTTCATTCCTGGAAGTCGCACACAAAACGATATCGTCTCTCCAGTGCCGTTTCAAGAGTGTGCGAGGGTGTGGTTCTTCCCGATTCCCAAACGAAAAGAAGAGAATTCAAGGGATTGTTAATGATCCGGGCGAATATCCGACTGGTTTTCTGTTCTTATTTATTTTGTTTTGTTTTCTCTCCTTCCAAGTCAATTCTCTGGAACGACCACCACCTCGCGCATACTTTTAGTCATCATCAGCAAAAAAAAGTTGCCGTCTCATACGCGAATCTGGAAGCTTTACTTTATTTTCATTATGACACAATTCTTTGCTGTTTTCCAGTCGCTGAGTGTGTGCAAGCTTGTTTCTGGCTGATCAGACATTCTTGAGAAATGAGTAAAGTAAAGAAAGGCCAAGTCACACACACACACACACACACACACCCACAAACACGCGAATGCAACTCCGAAATTCCAGCTGGCTGATTGACAATCCACCTACGCACAGTGGGTTGCAGCCAGTGAAAATGTTCACATAACGAGCGACTGCAGAACAACAACACCATCTCTTACAGGAAATTGATGCTTGTGCTCCTCTTCTTTTCCGTCTTGTGCCACAATTGCATCAATTTTGCAGCCATTAGTGAGTGCGCGCCCACTTCATTGATGGAGCCTACCCACTCGACACGCAATGTCTGCCCGGCTGCCCGACCGGCTCTGTTCGTGTTGCGTGTGCGCACTGTAAGAGCTGTTGACTGTGCAGGTCGTTTATGTATGGCTTTAAGGGTCGTTGGCGTTTTTGGCGAGTGCCACTCTATAGATCTAGACAACAGCAGCAGCACACTGGTACAAAACACCAAACCGCAGATCACTACAGCACCCAGGTAATGCAGTAATTCAAACTGATCTCACTAAAATGATTTCACTTACGATTTCCACTACATGCGGAAGGTGGTTCGTTCTTTCCAAATAATTCTTGGCACACTGTGCGCACGCACAATCAACAACCGTACGACAATCTTTGTCTCCGCTTTGGTTTCCTTTTCCGTGCGCCTCCCACTTGCGGTCTAGTCGATGCTTCGGCTGCTGCAGGCACAACGAAACAAAATGAAAGCGACTCCAAAAGCAAAACGAAAATCGGCCACATAGTATCTCTCAGAGCGTCATCAGATTGTTTACCTCTCTCCCTTGGTGTTTCTCTCTCTCTATCTATCTGTTGGGGCTCTCTCAGAGAGCGGACTATTTCTAATGGAGCTTTATTTGTTGGGGTCGGGTCCCATTCGGGTTTAGTCGCTCGCGACGCCTTTAACTCAATAGAAAACGCGACGCGCGCGCGTATCTTCGATTCTAACAAAATATTGGAGACAACAAACTGTCCAAGTGCATTGTGTGGAAGTGTCGAAAACTGCAACCCGGGAGCACAGAAGCGAAAAAACAATAAAAACCCGCAATATCAGTCCAGTGTTCAATGTTAAAAAACGCGTAAAAAAATGTATGAAAAGTCATTGGAACTTTGTTGGTGATATTGCGGCAGGTGGTAGCGTGGGAAATTGTTTACTTTGCTCGGAGAAAATAGAAACGCAGGAAAGCAAGAAAAACTGACAAATGGCAGATAAAACAAACAGAAAGCCAAAGATAAGAGACAATAGATAAGCAAGGAATGTTGCCAGTAGCTAAAAACTAGATACATCAAATTAGGTCCACAGATAATTTGGGATTTGTTTAGATTAAGGAATACGTTGCTCGTCTACAATGTTTTTCTTCAAACATCTTTAATTTGCACTAATTATGGATCCAATTAGCAAAGCTACACGACATCTAATAGATGAGGTATTTGCCCCCATGTGGCACTGCATAGAAATTTGGTTCGCGTCATTAATTTTGTGACCGAACGGATTCAGATATCAGATCGTAGGCGTTGAGATGGAAATTTGTTTTGGTTATTTCTGGAGGGGAAAAAGCTCCGAAAGAAATACAAAATACCAACAACATCAATTAAATTGTGCCCACTTAATCCATTAAAATTATGACATATTCCACATATTTTAAGCACTCAAAAGAAAAGAGTGGTGCAGTGAGTGGTAGCGATGCATCGACTTCCCCTCGTTTGTTAGGGGGAAAATTACAAAAGCATCTCGGGTTACGAAAGCAAATGAAAACGCTGGAGCATGATGTAAACGCAAACCGTCTGACAAAGTGTTCAATCGAATGCACTTATGAGAATCCCCTTTCCTAATGCCCTGCCTGCCCACCCACGTGAAGCATTTTGTTTAGCCCCCCGCCGTATCTCTCGAATCTCTCGGATGCCACCGAAACAGAGATGATGCCTTTGTATGGCCGATCCGCTCTGATCGCTGATCTAAAGCTCGTTTCTCATCTTTCAGTCCACGCTTAATCTCTGACTACTTAGCACCTCTGTCTTATTCTTAGTGAAATGAGTTCATCGCTTTTCGAATTTCGATTGCTGCTTAGCAGGTTCCTCTCTCTCGATCGCTCTCTGGCACATTTAACACAATGATTCTTATCTCCAAGCCATTAAATTTCAATTAGTGTTTGTTTTGTTTTGTTTCCATCTGCTGGACAATGATCAGTTCACTTTAAAGTGCACTTAAAAACTGAAAAGAAAAGACAATTCTTTCAGCATTTAGGTGCTTATGTACTTATCTTATCACAATGTGTTACTCAATGGTCAATGCGTTGCCATAAATTGTGCAGAATTTTATCAGCAGAAAGGCCAAAATATAAGTTCAATATAAGTTTTGTTCTTTTCACCTTCTTGCGCCTTCAGCAAGGTCAACACTCGCAATCCGCATCCACGCACACATTTTATCTACTTGCTAATAAAATATTTATATTGAGATCGCGCCGATCTCGTGGAATTTCCTTTCGTGCCTTTGACTTTTAAATAGACCCCAGACCATTGGCCCAAACAATTGCCAAAACGAACGTCATTGCCATTGCCGATCATCCATCCGCACGGAGTAATGTAATGCCTCCTCCCCTCAGGTGTGCTTTTCGGTCGAAGGGAAACTAATTTGTTTATAAAATAGCCTGGAAAGTGAGTTCCTCAGATAGTTTCTTTCTTGGCAAGTCTCTGCGGAAATCTATTGCAGCATTTTCAATTAACCTTCCCTAGTTTGGACCTCCCTTCGTTAGACAGGAAAAAGATCCAAAGACGACGACCGAGAGACATCGCCAGAAATTGTAGTTGTTTTTGTTGTTGTTTTTGTTTTTTTTTTTTTTGGTTATATTTTTAGTTTGCCAATCATTGGCGTTGACGTAATTTGGCAACCTTGATTTATCTTCCCCTTGCCACCCCTTTCCTATCCTGACTTTCCTGCCGTTGGTTTTTTTTGCTTTGTTTCTAGTTTCAGAATTTATATTTATTATTTTTTACCTTTTCCAATGTGTCGTCGTCGTTATGTGTTTTGTTTGAAACGAAACAAAATGTGTGGCATGCATGTTCCTTCTCGGCATTTTTATGATTCCATAAATCTGTCTTTATGGATAGATCCATAGATCTAGTATTAGTATATGTACATTGGGTGTATCTGCTCGTATCGTAAATTTTGTTGGATCCATAGATCAGCCATTCCCATCTTTGGTTGCTCTGTAGATAATGCCATCTGGCTTTTGATCACAGATCACATTGATCACATAGATTAACAGATCGGAATGCTTTGGTTTCAGTTTAGTAATTTTTCTGTGGATTAATTTCTTTTACATTCAATATATCTCTTAATCGATGGACTGCTTCATCGCTTCCATTCTCTCAAATGCATTCCATTCCCTAGACAACCATTTGCTGGAGCATGAATTCACTTTCTTTAGTTTGACTCGGGGGGGGCAAAGCTCTGTCGACAACGACAACAACGAACCATCGACAACATCCACAACAAAATCCACACTGACAGGCAAAACTCAATGCAAACAAAACGACAAATCCGTCGTCGAAAGGCCCCGAAAGGCCAAAAATAAAAATGCGCTTATAAATAATTCAAATGAAAAAGTTTTAGCTGCCGGTAGATGAGAGCCAGCAACAAAAAAGCAACACAAAATACAAAGAAAAACACAAACCTCAAATACAAAATACAAAATGTCATTAGACAGTTCCTTGGTTATTTATTGACAACAAAGTGGAACAGAACGTGAACAATGGATAGAACAATGTACGGAAAAATTGACCCAGGAGCGCGACAGCCATATCGCACAGCTCGGAGCAAGGGCATCCTGCCTGGCTGTAAGTATTCCATTATAGTGTTCCAAGTCCACTTTGGCACTAGCAGGTGACAGATCCTACTTCCACACAACAATCGATATAGTCTCCAGCTTGGGTGCCTCGCAAATAAACTTGAACAGACTGTTGGCATCATCGGCGCAGGGACGATCGTTAAGCTCGAAGCGCTGTGAGTCCTCATATATGTAGCCCAAGTGAATGCAATGCTCCCTGTTGCCTGCGTTGTCGGGTTGGTCGTGAGCCCATCTCATACTGTTGATCCTCTGGCCATTGCTGAACCATTTGTGCGTGCCCGTGCTGCCCAGATCGTTGCCAGAGGTCCAGTAGTTGTCACGATCGGCATTAGCCTTTAGATAGCCGGCAATGTGATCGAACTCCCCGTCTGTCTCGAAGGTAACCAGTTCGGCATCAAGCTCCCTGCATTTCTCGTAGGCCACATACCAGTTGACTCTCTCCCTTCCAAAGAAATAGTATCCCTCGTTGATTTTGGTGAATGGTTCCGATTTCAGGACAGCACCAATCGCATTGCCTGTTCCCACAGAAACACACATTTTTTCACTCGGTTTTAATTCACTTTGAATTCTCCTTACCATCGTTTATTTGAATGGTGAACTTCTCGTGGGCCCAGGACACCTGTGCGCTGGATACCAAACCGAGGAATAGGACCGTAAACTTCAGCATTTCTTTGCTCACTGAATGCTTGGATTGTCACTGGAGGGCTACGTGCAGGAATTTCTGTTGAATGTGTGTTTTCTTTTTAATTACAATTGTTAAACATTTCACCGAAACCCTCATTGCCTTTCCTTTGTTCGATTAACATTCGGGTAGGAGGTTCAGAGAGGTGACTTTGAATTAGTCGAGTTCAGTGGAAATAATGCAATAAGCGAGTATTCGGTAAGATTATATCTTGTTCCTTGACAAGCGGTATTTAATTTCAATTTAATTAAAATTGCCAAAAATATGCTACTCAGAGCTGAAAGAAAGTTTGATCTAGCTTCAGCCTCTAAAGAGAATCATCTGCAAACATTATTTCTGGGGAGTTTATTTCACAGAAGGCAGCTTATGTATAAGGAGTGTGAAAAGCAAAGAAATCTTTGATACATAAGTATCTTTAATTACAGCTGAAGAAATTGTGTGATTTAATTTGAATACAAAATAAATTGTAGCATTTGCTTACGTATTTGGGGTATACTTTTGGGGCTTCGGCTGGCACTCATTTCGCGGTGTAGAATTGATGTACAACTCGTGTTAAATTCCCATTTTGTGTAGTGTCCCAGAAACAACAACAAAATCCAGACCATAATTATTAGACATTGTTTTGGATCCTAGAACTTAGGAGCTACAGCGTACATTTATGGTCGAGAAATAAACGAAAATTTAACAGCATGTGAGAGGAATTGCTGGGGCAGTCTCCATTAAAGTTAACAGCAAATTGGTCGACCCGTCGGCTATGTAAACAACTTTTATAGGAAACAGACACACACATAGGAAGGGGGTGACGTAATTGTAACACTAAAGATGCACAACCTCCGCTCCCTGTCCGCGTTGGATAGACTGTCTATTACACTACCTTCCAGCATATACAATATAGCCAGTCACGTCGATCTATAATATTATGGACTATTAAATTTATAATAATGGTATTTGCTGGATCATGGACTATGACCTTCTGTTGGGTGTGTATACTCATTGCTGCTCTGTCTTACCTTAAGTTCCATCTTACTTTGCGGGCCGTTATTCTTGCCTTCCCTTGCGAGTCTCTCAGACACATTCGCTTACATTTATGTACATATTTACATTCCCGAATCTATTATTGGCTCTAAGATAGTAGCAAAAATTCCCTTTAAAATTTCCCCATCTAGAAGGGTAAATAAATGTCGAATAGCTGAAGTTTTCCACCATCGAGAGAGGCTCGCCCATGTAATTATTCTGCCCGTGCGTCTGTTCGACACTGTTGCATTTATTTTACATTTGGTTTTTAGTACTGTTAGCTAATGAAAGACGAGCAGCACCTCAAATGCATGCAAAGTCGATTCTCCAGGTACCTGAGCTTTATTTAAATACTTCCAATTCAGTTTGCACTGCGACGCCGCGCGGTCTTCATCGTACCGCATCTCTCAACTGCAGCAGAAAAGTGAATCAATTGAAATGAAAATCGGTAAGCGGAATGTGTGTGGAGGTGTGTGACTCCCTCGTATTACTATCTGGTATCTGGTAGTCGATGACCTTACTACGCGACTCATTCATTAGATCATTAGATCATTTGTGCCCATTGAGGCGACAGCAAAACCAATTCTTGGCAGTGGGCGTTAGTGGTTTTCATTCGAATGCTGTTCTATTTATTGCCAGACACGACACTTTGTCTGTATATGCACTCTGTATTCGTACATATTGTCCGTCTGTATGTATGGATATCCAAACACCCATTATGTATGGCGCGTTTCACAACGGTAAGACAGGAAAATCCCCCGAAACATTGTAAAGCATTAGTCAAAGAATGAGAAAAATACACTGAGATTTCAGCTTGAATATGGAACATTATTTTGAAATATTTCGATTATTACCTGAGCCCCATTGTTTGATAAGTCCCAGTGCGGAAGTCGAAACAATTAGTACAACAAAAGAAACACGTTAAAGACTGATTGGTAGTGCAGAACCAGTTCTCATAGTTGACAAAGGTCAGGGGCCGTCAGTTTCTACTTTTTGATAACCTCTTCTACCCCATTGTGGAATTTGAGCTGTGGAATCTATGCTGTTAATCTTTGATCCATAAGACTCAAAACCAAACAGAATGAATGAAATAAATTTCAATTAGTTGCTATTTGCTCATTTTGTGTTTTTGTTGTTTTTACTAATTTTAGTTTTCATTTCAAAGTCAAGTGATTCATCTACAAAAAAAAAAACCACTCAAAGCATCAATACAGCCGAGTGAAAATTAGATAAAGAGACAGAGAGAATGAGAGAGAGAGAGATCTGTGTGTCTTATTTTGTTTATGTGTAAACTGTAAGGTGTTTGTACTCGGGACTCGTAAAAATCAAGGGTAACGGCAGAGGAAAGTGAGAACAAACAATTTATGGATGCGCTACCTCGTATGATATCAGATTGGATTAACTTTTATTTTTGCTTACACAATTTTCATTTACATATTTTATTTTCGTATTTTAAATTGTATGTTGAATGCCACGTTCATGCATACATACATACAACATATCAGCATTCTTAGCCTCCATTGAGTACCAGGTATCTCTCGGGTCGAGACGCTCGACTACTTGTGCCACTTGAGTGAGTTTTCCGTTTGAGTTGGCTATGCTTTGAGTTTTTCAGCATCGGCGCCGTTTGTTGTCGGCCGACGTTTTTACAGTTTGTTCAGTTGCTTTTCAAGATTTTGCCGAGAAACTTTGCTTTGACTCGAGAGTCCGCGAATGAGTTCCGTCCCGATCCGTTCCGCGAGTGCCTGAGTGTGTCGTCTGAGAGTGCAAGCGTTTAATTAAACCGTACGCAATCGATCAGCACTTAAAACAGCAACAACAAACAGAAACCGAAGCCAGAACAGCAACAGAAACCAAAACCAAGAGCAAATGAAAACGAAAGTGCAAAAAAAGGAGCCATTTAAAACACACAAAACACAGAAGAAAGGAAAGGTGGGGTGGAAGCGAGAAGAAGCAGAACAACAACATTGTGCTGCGCTCTCACCCACGCCGCTCTCCCTGCATTATTGTCTCTCTCGCTTCGCACAGCATTGTGGCTGCACATGCATACATACACACATATGTAGTGGTTCCCTCTCTCTCTTGTTGCAGCATTGTGCAAGCAAGCTGTCATTGCCAAATCAACAGCTGCTGTATGTCATGTGCTCTGTAGGCTCTGTCCTCTTGATTGAGTGAAACTTCCCCCAGCCAACGCTTTCAATTGATTTTGATTGGGTTCGTTTCAGTGCATTCCTTATAAATAATATTCGGAGTGTCTTTTAAATTCAGTTACATTGGGCAGCGGATTGACCATCTTCGCATACATACATACATGCATACATACACGCATATGGACATATTTATGTACGTTTGCTTCTGCTCATCTTCATCTTCCACGTTGACCCACTGATGCGTAAAGTTCTGATAACCCTGCCCTGTCCTATTTTACGACCCCCTTCCCAGACACATCCCAGAAAACAGAAAACTATTCGACGGGCAGGTCCACATATGGTGGAATGAACGATTTCCCAGTCAACCACATGTTCGATCTTCCATTTGTTGCTATTTATAAGCGTATTGCGAAATAAATTGCCCGATCTCGCTTCCAACAAACCCCATCCCAACCCGCCCAGAGGCCCCATCACTTTGGATGCTTTTATTATATTCGTTATTAATGTGTGCCAAAAAAAATATAAATCGCGTCACACCTTATTTTCCTTTATATAACTCAAAATTGTTTGAGTGGAAAATACATTTCTATGTTTACTCTCACTCTCCCATAGAGAGTCTGTCTCTCTCTTTCTCTACAGGTGTGCTGTTGTGCGCTTCCTCTGGACAGGAACGTCAGGTTCTAACCTTAACATTTTTGTTGAATTTATTTGTAGACTTTGATGTCTTAATCGTTTGTTTCCATTCCATTGCCCCCTCCTGGTCTATGCTGTTGTGGGTGTGTAAAATGGAAATGTCAGAGTTCGATGTGATGAGATGACAGCTAAATACTTCAAGGTGGAGGTGACAGCTATCCATGACATATTTTGAAAGCTTCTTACTTTGAGGAATGCCGAAGTCAATTGAGGCAAGAAAGATTTTGGAAGGGTGTGTTTTATTCTACAATCCGTAAAAATAAAAGTTCGTGTTTCATAGCCATTTGCCTGCCTCCCTTTTGTCAGCCATTTGCCCGTTCTCGGACAAATTATAAGCGAAAAGAATGCAAACAACATTAATATGATCAAATATGTGTATAGCGTCCATAAGGAATACACACATACCCATACCCATACCCATACGACAAACAAGCTCGTAGTATTATTTCTAGACTCTGTGCGACTTTTAGCCCGTTCGACAAGTTCGGCCCACGAAAATTAAATCAAACAAATATTGTGTGTAGACAGAGACCACCTCTCCGTTGCTGTCTCTGTCTTTGGTTAGTTTTTGGGCTGCAGTGTGTGGGTGTATTTTCGATATGACTTTGTTTGGTTTGCCGTTGGTCCAACGCTTGTTCCACTCTGGTCCACGAGTTGATTGAGTTTTCAGTGGTTAAATTCGCTCGCAGTTTGTTGCTGCTGTTTTCGTTTCGGTTTCGGATTCTGTGGCTTTTGTGCTGTGACTGAACCCATACCGTTTATAGTGATCGATCCTAAGTGAAATTTAGCATACTGCAAAGGCAACAAAGTGACAATCAAACGAGTGAAATATTTCAACATTTTCGATTCTGGCCATATTTGACTGTTGACTGTGTGTTCAGTGTTGTTCCTTCTGGGCCCGTCTGAGAATGCCTGCCAAACTGATATCATCGTCGTTCCACAGCACGCCCCTCAACGACTGCTTCAAAGTGGGCGCCTTTGAGAGACGTTTGGGTAAGTTTGACGCCCGTGACGTGACTGCCTGTTTGATTTGAGTGTGGAACATCGAAGATGTTGTGGGTGTTAATGTAGTAGAGTTCATGATAATATCATTCATGCTTTGTATATCTACTCATCATTAGCCGTGAGTTCAAGTTCAAGAAACTGGTCTGGGTATGCAGCAAGCACGAAGGTTTATATGAAGACTCTTAACACGGCTATACACCTTAGAAAATGTATTTATTTGTATTACTTAAGCCATCATACATAACCATGTCTAGCTTAAGTGCTCTGCTAATTAGCGATCAACGTTAATAAGGAGAAGTGAATGGAAATTGGTCTGTGTGGAATGTGTTTGGAAACAATATTCAATATATTCACTGAAAAAGCAGCAATGAAGAAAACAACATAAGTATCATGTGCATGAAACATAAATACAACAAAATACAAAATACAACAACAGAAATGTCATGTGCATGATGCATTGATTTTTGAAACAAAACAACGTAAAAGCCATGTGCATGACAAAACAACATAAATGTCATGTGCATGACAAAACAACATAAATGTCTTGTGCATGATGCGTCGTAGTGTTAAGAGTTTTTGGTGTTCGACCTGCCTGCCCACCGCTGCTGCACAGAGTGATTCGTATCTGCCGCAAGCTGAGGCAAGCTTTTCAGTTGCCGGCATGCCTCGACATTAGCCAAGACACACACCGCAGGCAGGCAAGAGCTGTGAGGAAAGGTCTCAAGTTTTCAGCGAAATATCGCTTCCCGTAAGCAATACAAAAGAAAACAAACAAAACGAAACAGTTCAGATAAGAAACTTTTGTCCGAAGATACTGGCAGGCAGCAATAACAGCCGAGGGAATGGATTCTCCATTCAGTTATCACAGACCTATGCGTCAGAGGTGGCAGTGCCAGGTGCTTGGAATCGGATTTGGGAAGTTCAAATTAAGTTACAAAAGTTCTCCCGGAAAAAAAGCAGTGGACCATGGCCAACTATGGCGATTACGATAATCTTGGTAGACCTTAGACATACTTTTCATTTATCCAAAGACCAACTTCAGTGTTTCCTCTTTTCTGTCTTTGCAGATGCTCTCCTAGCTGATCTGCAGAACAGTGTGCCGGGTCAACCCCAACAACCTCAGCCTCAGTATGGCACTGTGCAGCCAAAGCAGCAACATCAGCCGCAACAGCAGCAACAGCAGCAGTTTGTGGACAATACACCAGGCTATGGCAGCCTCAGGGGCAAGGCCCAACCACAGGTGGTGAGTAGAAAGAGAAGATTTCATTTAAACAAGGATCAGCCTCTAATCGAAGTCCTTTTTAGTACCAGGAGCACTATAGCGTAGAGACGCGCTCACCAACCGCTGGGGACTTAAATGGCTCCTTCTCCATTCCGAGCAACGGCTACCCCAGCCAGGGCAGTGGCTCCCTGCCCCGCAAGCCCGCAACCACGGCGGTGGGGCAGAACAGCACCGGATTATCGGAGCTGGACTCGTTGCTGCAGGATCTGCAGAATGCACGCTACAACAACGGCGGTGCCGACAAGGGACTGAAGGGTGAGATACAGATACAGAACTAGACTCCATCAAAGGGAAGACATTAATTGTTGGCTTGTTCCCTTTTTGCAGACATCGATGTGCCAGTCAATTACAGCACGCCAGTCTCAAAGTACAACACGTTCAACAGCTATGCCACAGTCGAAGAGCGGCCTACCATGGACAGCCTGCTCAACGAGCTGGACAACGCCCACATCTACGCCGTGCCCAATGGGTAAGCGGATCACACATAGCATCACAATCAGACTGTAACTCAATTATTCTTTAATTTACACACAGATCTGGGCACAAATCCCCAACGCCCGGACGCCATGTCACCATTACAGTACGCGAAACAAAGACGGAGAAGCTGACAGGACCCGATGGTCCAGGTATTTATCTTGCTATAGCACAGCCCTTCAATCTTTACCTTTGCTAATGTCTATATGTTCGCTTGTGTTTGCAGTTGGCACGCTGGAGGAGCAGATTGTGCAGCAGAAAGATTCGTATGCACAGAACAGTGTTGGTCCGGGAATCCAGCAGCAGCAACAGCATCAGCATCAGGCATACACGTCGCAGGCCACCAAGGAACTTGACGACCTGATGGCCTCGCTTTCCGAGTTCAAGGTGAGTGATCAGAGGAGTGGAGATAAGTCGGAGGAAGCATGCTTGTAGATGGAGCGTGATTATAAAGGGAAAAGTATTCTATGATGTCTGAAGATGGCTTTTGGATGAGAAATTCGATGAATTTATTACTTAAATTAACCAAGCAGTAGGAAATATAATTTGTTGCAATGAAAACTTCATTTTCGATAGGGATAGTCAGGAGCAATAAATGTATAAATGTGGGATTTAATCCGACTATAAAACGACTACGCATTAAGTAGACAATGAATCAGAAAAGTATCATTTTGATGAGATAAGAATAAGATAAGAGGAAAGCAAGAGTGGCTGGGAGTAATGCGAAATTTGATAAAAGAATGACGGACAGTAACAAGCGTGGAATGCAGTACAGGATGAACTTCTTTTCAGACACAGTTTTTGAGCAATCTGTTTGGAATACATAATAATCTCTTTTAAGATTTGAACTGAAGAACTTTTAATCTATCTCAATATAGATATATTTTGTTGGAATGCATTTAGTTCGTGTTCCCATTTCCAAACAGAACAAATCTCTTCAGTATTCTTTAGTTTATTCTAATGTAACAACAAATTGATTAGTTTGTTGCAGTCCTAACAAATGTTTTCACTTTTTGTTCACCTGTCGAATGGTTCCGCTCACTTTGAAAAGCGTCAAAACAAATTGCATATGACCGGAGTGGGGAGACACTGCTCTCGGCTAGGTAGACATTAGATATTTTTAGGCCACTACAACCCAATATTCTGTTGGCGGTGATAAAAACCATAAAATGAACATATTTATCATCGCAACTCGTGTGACGCAGGCCAGCCAATCCCATTCAAGCGCCCTTAGTCGGATCTCACCTCATCGGCGGATAGCTCTTGACTTTGACATGGTCTGACGAGCATGATCTGTGAAGGCACATGGTAGAATGTGGATCTGGTCTTCTTTTTATGAGATACATTAATTGAGGCTGATTATTATAATGGCCAACATTTATACGGACTGAAATGATTGTCAGATTTGATCGATTTATTGCACGCGGCGCCACAATTTTATTTATATTTTATTATAAATATAAGTTGAGCAAAGCAGGAACATTCGCACTTTCAGAGAGTCCACATCGTTAAGTACTTTTTGATCAGATCCACAGATTGAATAATAAGGGACACAGGTGGCCATGCATCGATGGGGGTTTCGCCTGCTCCACAAGCAAAAGAATATAGCGGCGGGTATCCCATAGATCCCAACGTAACTTCTTGCTTGTTTATACAGCGTATCTCATTTTCATTTCTCATTAAGTCATCAATCAAATCGTGCGATCCATTGAGTAAACAAAACATTCGCCTTATTATTTCTGCATTGCACATCTCCACAATTTGTGTATCCAAAAAAGATACACAATTTCGCCTTCACTTGGATTAGAACATTTTCATTGTTGTTTCTACTTCGACATTCGTTTGTAGAACACATCATCTTGAGGATGATGTCTCTTAACAGATGTTTTTGCGTTTTATTCAGATGTTTTCCTGTTCTTTTTTGTTCACTTTAGTTTTTTAAATATATTTTTACTGCTCCTTTCCTTTAAAAATTTCGGTCAAGGCTGCACATTTCATAAAGGCTCTTCGATGAATGCTAATGAAACTGGATATTTAAATACCCTTAAAAGGTATATCAACTTCCATGTATAGTCTACTACTTCCACACTTAAATACACCAAAGTCCAAAAAATTTGATATCAATTCCATGGCAGATCGATTCTTCCTACCTTTTGCTCGATCTAAATCTTAAATGCTACATTTCCATATAAAAATTGTTTGAAAGATCCTGATCCGCCGTAGCATCCCAGTTGATTTATGAAAAATGTTTTAATTTAATTTTGATTTTGATAAATACTAAAGTATAAAATCTTTTGAGGTTTATTTGACACTCAAAGTTGTGTCTTTAAATAGAACTACTTAATGAGGGTATCATTCGGTGGGTATAATTATATTAAAGAGATGTTTAAATAATATAATTATTAAATTAGATATTAAATACATCCAAGTCAATCTATCGTTGCTTGTTTTGTTTCTAAAGATAACATGAGAAAATTATACTGCATAAGTATGACATGAAAGCTATCGACCTTCGTACAACAAACACCTCCAGAAAATACTTAAACGAAGAGGGACGTTGTGAGTCGCGTTCAAACGCATCATTAACTGAAGTGCATTCGTTAAAGGATTGGCACACCTTATACATTATTGGATCGAGTTCCATGAATGAAGGTGGAATCTACATACATATGTACTTATGTACCTAAGGGACTAGTTTACAGACATTGCCATATGGTCGCTTAAATATTTTCATCTGAAGGGTGGCTCTTATAATAAGAAAAACCCTTTCAAAGTACTGACAAACACAGTATTAACTTTTTGTAACTCTTTAAGCTAGTTCTTATAGCAAAACAGCATCTGGTCAACGTTCATAAGTAGTTTGATATTTGATTCCCTCTACCAAAGATATTTCACACTAGTGGTAGGCCTTGCGTAGAATTTTGCCAGAGGAATGCAGTGGTAATTATCAGTTTGTCGTTCAGTTATTCGAATCGCATTCATTAATAATTAATTCCTAAGTGAAAAATATGTGTGCATATAATATTCATTCTTTTGGCAATCTCTCAGCAACAGAATAAGCAAAAGTCTTTGGCTGCAATCAAGCAGACAACGATTGAAGCGAATGAATGGGTGGGGGATCTGTGGTCTGTGGATCCGAGTAAATTGCAATTCAATGTCATTGACGAGAGAAGATATAAAATGTATATGTGAAATATACATATGTATGTATGCATGTAGAGAAGGTCGTGTCTGTTAATTATTTAATATCATTTTCAATTTTGTGGCGCATGGCCCCACACGGGTGTAGGTGGGGTTAGAGGGAAGGACAAGGCAAGGCGTGTCCGTGACTTTTGTTGATATGATAAATATGAAAATGAAATAGGCAATCCCTCCATCTCTCTTCCTCTATGTGTGTTTGTGTGTGTGCAGAGAAGAACAAGGAAAACATAAAAATATATTCGGATATAAACAATATTGCACACGGCCCGTGTGTACATTTGCCTCATTGGATATTCTCGTGGTCCGTTTGGTTCTGCTGGGTTGGTGGAGGGGTGAGGGGTCGCCCACACAAAACTTTGGTCAGACACAAACGGACAGTAGTCGGCCGCACTTCCTCCCACCGCTGTCAGCGCCGCCTTGCTTTAGTTTTTTTTTCATTGCAAATCACATTTGCATGGCTATTTTTGAATGGGTCTCTTTTTTCTATAACCAAATATCCATATAATTATGCGATCTACATACGTCTCTCAGTCTGTGTGTGTCTTTGTATACAAAAATATAAATATATTGAATTTTCAATATTTTTGTTGGCTCTTTCATTGCCAAAATCATCAACTGCTGGCTGACAGTGCCCGAATTTGCATTTCCCCTTTGCTCCTATCCGTTCCACATTGATCGAGATTTCCTTCTTGTCTTGCTTCCTGTCCTCCTGTCCTGTCCCTTCCACCCTCTTCTACGCTCTACTCTCTACACTCGAGCGAGTGTTTACCGTTTCTTTCGTGCTTGGCTCTCTGGCACACGCCCATGCGCTTTTTATGGGGAAATCCTGTTGGCCAGCCGGTCGGCGTTCGTTTTTATAGTCCCCCGCCAAGCTGCCAAGCGGCGATTTCTCGGCTTCTCCTTCTATTCGATTCTGTATACGATTTTAGCCTTAAAATAGAATATCAAAATGTTGAAAAACGACGGCAAACCCAATGGCAATTACTTTTGAGACTATACAGGAGCGCAACAAGGCTGTTGAGGGGTTGGGCGCCCAGACAAGAGACAGTCTGCTTAACAGTGAGCCATTGTACATTTTATTGAGGATGAATTAGATATAACAGTTATAGTGTAATAACCAGCATCTTAGATTAGGCTATCTACTCTTATTTGTTTTAGTCTTTTCCGTTCCAACATTTTTGTATATGTCGCGCGCCCACCCTGCCCCTCTCAGTTCTTGAACCGCACCTGTCAAAAGCATAATACGTTCAATTAGGCGTCTACCTACATATGTACATATGTATGTATGTTTGTATGTAGTTAAGAGGAGAGAAACCAGGCATGAGACGACACCAACAACACACTAAATGAAAATGCAAAGTTTATGAAAGAAAAATGAACATTGAAATGGAAACTTGCACAACGACAGACATGATCCATACACACACATAGAGAGACCTCCCCCGCCACCCACTAAAAACGATCGAAGACCCCCCCCCGCCTCCAAGCATTTGTATTTTTGGCAATGAACGGAATGAAAACTACGTCAACGTGCAAGAAAAATGCTTTTTCATATGAGGAGAGCGTCGTGCGCAACGAGGTTCAGACACACAAACGCACAACAGACACACACACACATACACACACTCATGTAATGTAAATCAGACAGGAGAAGCTATGGAAAGAGGAAGAGTAGAATTATTTTTGATATTTTTTGTTTGTAGCGGCGGCTAAAAGCAAAAGTTTTTGTGTTAGCGCTCACACAAGATTTGATTCAGTCGAGGCAGGCACATCGACGCACGAGTAAGAGCGACGGCGGATAGAGCCAGGATGCGAGGAAAGATAATAATCATTTGTCCACCCTTTCCTCACAGGTCAGCAGCAACGGAACGAACGGCACAGGCGGACAATTCACGAACTCTAGCCCGCAGCAGCAGCACACATCGACGGTGCAGCACCAGACGGTAACGGACTACGCCAGACCGAACAAGGGCAGCCAGCAGGCACATCTCACGCAGACCATCGAGGAGACGACCATCGTCGAGGACAGTCGCGAGGATCAGTTGGATTCTATGCTAGGAAACCTACAGGCAAACATGAGTCGCCAAGGAGTCAACACAGTGCAGAAGGGCTGCTGCAATGCATGCGAGAAGCCAATCGTCGGCCAGGTGATCACCGCCTTGGGCAAGACCTGGCATCCGGAGCACTTCACGTGCAACCACTGCAGCCAAGAGCTGGGCACCCGCAACTTCTTCGAGCGCGACGGCTTCCCCTACTGCGAGACGGACTACCATAATCTGTTCAGCCCGCGCTGCGCCTACTGCAACGGCGCCATTCTGGACAAGTGCGTCACCGCCCTGGACAAGACCTGGCACACGGAGCACTTCTTCTGCGCCCAGTGCGGCCAGCAGTTCGGCGAGGAGGGCTTCCACGAGCGCGACGGCAAACCCTACTGCCGCAACGACTACTTCGAGATGTTTGCCCCCAAGTGCAATGGCTGCAATCGGGCCATCATGGAGAACTACATCTCCGCTTTAAATTCGCAGTGGCATCCGGATTGCTTTGTCTGCCGGGTAAGTTCTTCAGCCATAGATGCTCGATGTCTATCTCTTTATTATGGATATATTTATGAGCACATATTAATGTAACTATTCCACATTCGCACGATCATGATTCCATTATCTAGGACTGCAAGAAGGCTGTGCGCGGAAAGTCCTTCTATGCCATGGAGGGCAAGCCCGTGTGTCCACAGTGCGTGGGCGTCGATGAGGAGGAATAGGGAGCCAGATACACACACACACACATCAGCAAGAAGCAAGAATCTGTTGTTGAAGTTCAGCAGCCAACAAAAATAGACCCAGAGCCAGATACAGATACATTTTTTGTACGAATATGCGCGCGAGCTGCGTGCCACTTTTTTGTGTCCGCTCGCTTTTTACTATCTTCAGCATCCATCCCCTGTGGGGCAGGCAGCAGCTGCACGCCGTTTGTCTCTGGCTATTTTCGGGCAACCTCAACCACAACCAGAACCACAGCAGCAGCACAACATCCAACAACCGAGGCAGCAGCAACCAAGCAACCAACAAAAACCCCTGACCTGACCTCTATCTGTGTCTGTTAACTGTATGCCGCTCCATGCTGGCCCGCTGCCACCCACAGCAGGTGCCGCTGGAGCAGTGGATACAGTAGCCACCCTCTATGATGGTCTCTGATTGCCCCTGACCCTGACCCTGGCCCACCCCCACTCTTGACTTGTTGTTGAACTTTTCTATGAAATTTTTGGTAGGCTTAAGTCTTTTAGGTACTTTTAAATTTTAATTATTTATGAAGATGAGCAACAATATTGTAATTTGTTTTTGTAAATAAAATTTAAATAATTACATATTAAAAAAAAAACACTTAAAAACAGCAACAAATCCTTTAAAAGGGAAAGCAGGGAAAAGTTGAAAAAAAGATTTTTCTCTTTTTTTTGTTGCTCCTCCCTCGCAGACGACAGGTGGACCGCACCTCGTGCCAAGGTCAGGGTCAGTTTGTGCTCTGACCTTGACATGTGTCTGCCTGTCGTCTCAGTTGTGGCTTTGTTGCTCTTGTTAAACAAATTACAATATTGTATGCCGTATATGTAAATATATCTTCTGCTCAGCGATCTCCTCCCAGCGGAAGCTCAGGGGAATAAATTACTTGTCGAAAACTATTTTCGCTGCTTACGTACGAGTATCATTATAGCTTTAAGTATTATAGTATCCTATACGATCGACTGTCTTCTATAAGAATCGCACTGTTTTATGGCCCCCTCGTTATATTGGGAATCTCGGGGGTGTTCATCGAATTGATTGACCAGCACAAAAATCCGACGAACTCGTCAATTCTTCAGCGCTGGAGTGCAAAAAGATTTTAAAAATATTTTCCAAAAATAGCCATTCAGCGCTGCAATCGCTATAAATAATATTAAATTATTTTCTTGTAGTTTTGTTTCATATTTTTAATATTATTTGTTACGCTCTGTGGCCCACTTTTCGTAAAATCCACAGAGCACATTTATGAAATGCCTCAAAGGCAACTGCTGCTGCACCTGTTGTTTATGGAAAATTGATTGATGTTTAGAGAGAGAGAGAGCGAAGCGCTCTCCAATGTCCTGATATCCATAGGAATGGTTTCTCTTGTTTTCCGTCTTCCTATTTTTTGCTGGATGTTCGCCAAAAGCGTGCGCAAAATGTTTTTGTCTTGGAAAGCCCTCTTGTTGCTTTGTTCTTGCTGTTTCTGAAATGTTTTTCCAAAAGGCATAGAAAATGAAATAAATGGCAAACACGGAGATGCAAAGCATGCAAATGAGATACATATGTATAAATGTAATATGTACATATTTATGTACATTATATTTATCATATTCAAATTTCATGCTGTCTTGTGTTTTCTGGTGCTGTTCACTTTTGTTTTGCTTCCAATTAGCTCACGCCAACCACCATGCACAGTGGAAAGAATATTTTACTTTGTCACATTTTTCGTGTGCGAACAAATTGTAATTAGGTTTTTGGTGCCCGCAGAAAATAGTATATGGATATTACGGCCCAATCGGTTTCTTCATGCCATATGCCAACTAATTTATAGTCGTAATTAGCCTCGTACGCTGGCAGCACTTGGCCACTTGCTCCGCTATAGATCATCCAAAAAGGCTTCACCCCCACATCCAAACCCATCATATTTGTAGTTTTGTTTTTTGATGGCGCAGTAATTATTTTCTTGCCTTTTCTTTGCAGGACTGTCGACAACCCTTCCAGGGTGGCTCGTTCTTTGATCACGAGGGACTGCCCTACTGCGAGACGCACTACCATGCCAAGAGAGGATCGCTCTGCGCCGGCTGCTCTAAGCCCATCACCGGACGCTGCATCACGGCCATGTTTAAGAAGTTCCATCCGGAGCACTTCGTTTGCGCCTTCTGCCTCAAGCAGCTGAACAAGGGCACCTTCAAGGAGCAAAAGGACAAGCCGTACTGCCATGTCTGTTTCGACAAGATATTCGGTTGAAATTTCCCAGAGTCTGTCGGACCGCAGCTGCCAAACTATTCACTAGCTATGGATATACACACACATAAAACTGTTTTTTATACGATTTACGACCACCCCGAACCCCGAACCCCAACCAACTTAAAGTGCTTTGTATAACCGAGTCAAATTAGTAATTTAATTAATGCAGAACGAGCTAGAGGGTTGCCCTGCCATCGCAATGTAATCAATTAGCAGACACTAATCCCAATCAATTATGTCGGTCATCTTGATATTTTTACTCGTTCAGCAAACATGCAGAATGACCACGGAATGATAATAAATAAATGAGAAAGCTAAGAAGATCTTGTACTACTAGCCACAATCCTGTTGGACTGGACGGGTGACAAAGGGTAATTGAGCTCATTCTGGATTGGTTTTCTTAAGAAAGAAATTGCTTCGTTGAGGAGAGGAAAATACAATACACAACAGAAAATACAAGTCGTCAAAACTAAATATTAGCTAAAAAGAAAGGTTAAGTTCTTTCTAAGTAGAAAACATTTCACTATCGGACGGCACAGGCAACTCTGGATTTTAGTCATTAACTTAAACATGGATTATTTACATAAAACTGATATTTAAGGGTGTTAGTGAGGTCTCCTTTTATTGCATTTTTATTACAATTTTTAATCAATTTATGAGAGATGATAACGGTTATTAAATTTAACTCCTTTTTAATTTACTGTACAAAATCAGCTTTGCGCATGTGCGCCCAAGAGCGAACCCCGAAAGAGAGCGCCTGTGGTGAATACGTCACCTTCTTAGTTAATTCACCATTGCCTGACTGACCTTCGAAACATTCTACTCTTAACCATAGTCAGTTTCATGAGTACCCTGTACGCCCTGCCAATCGTTTTGGCTCTGTAGTATCTTTGTATCTGTAACTTTGCACGTTAATTCACACACACTGAAGCAACTCGATGCCGGCCGGTTTATTTGCCGCCTCGCTCTCACGCTAGCCACTTGACATTGGGGCTGAAAGAAGCGTGGTTGGCCATAGAGCATGTGTGCGTGAGGTGCGCGCCCCTATAAAACGCTGTAGCTGTAGGGTTTCCAGCACGTCCGTTTGTTATGAATCAGCAGTCATTCGGAAAGAATCCATCGGTCCGGGTCGGTTGCCAGTTGTGAGTTGTGCCAGTTGCCAGTTTCCAGCGTCGCTCGTCATCCGTCGGTCGTGTTTTGTGCCTTTTATTAATTCAGCGTGGGCGTGGGCGTGTGCTCAGTGCTGTGTGCTCGTACGTACGTGCATACTCAACGACGAATCGCTTGTTTAATTAGCTGCCAGTCATCCAGCTAACCGAGTGTGTAGTGAGCTCAGCTTGTGCCGGGCATTTCCATTCCGAGTAGTGGAAAACTCCATCGAAAAATAGCAGGCAGCCAGCATCAAAAGTGACTCCAGGTGAAGAAGAAGCGCTACAGGTTGGTGTTAGTGTATGCTTGTGTTGGTGTATTCTGTACTCCGCAGGCCTACAAATGTAAACACACAGATGGGCACATACACATCTTTACGATTATAGAGAAAATCTACCTCTCAGCCTCTCTGTGTCTCTGCCTCTTGCTCTCTCTCTTGGCGCTCACCGCAAAGGCGTTTCGTTTGCTACCTGGTCGTTGTTTTTGCAGTGTTATGTAACAGGAGAAGTAACTGGAATAGTATTTCGAGTCCTTAACTAAACAAGTCATCGTCTTCATGATATCACTACACGCCTGGCATGGCTTGGCCTAGCACTGAAATATTGCTAGACAATAACAATGGGGAGCAGCAACGGTAATTGGATGTATTGTGGTTCCAATTGAGTGTCCCCTCCCTCTTACTCCATGCATTTATGTATGTGTCTGTGTGAGAGAGTGATGATTGTGTGCTAATTTGTCAGTGTGTGGTGTGTAAATAAAAGGGAAATTAGCGGTGCAGTTGTTATTGTCAACAGTGGGACGATAAATTGCATTATAATTCATTTAATTTAACGTCCCATCACAGTTATTCGGTGCTGCTGCTGGTTAGGGTTTGAGTACCGCCCCCCAATTATCGGGGGAAACGAGTAAAAATAAGTTTTCAGTTATTTTCATGCCCAAGGTTAATGGACACTCCCCACTCCAACACCCCCATCAGGTTGGGTCACGCAACAGCTTCGCTCCCTCGAGTCGGACAGTGGGAAGGGTACAACATTTTGTTCATTATTTTACATGCAATCTCCACCTGGCGCTGGCACTCCACATGCCAGAGTTTGTCACGTAAGCCAGCCAGCAGTCTGCGGTTGGTCGCTCGCCTATAGCTGATCTGCTGCCCAACGACCAACGTCTTCCGTTGCTTATCAGTTATTTTCGGGCACTTGCTGCATATGTTTGCAGACTCTGCTCTTTGCTCTGCTCTTCTGATCAGGCTCCAGTTATTTTTTATGACTTTATTTGTTTGTTTGCCTCTCTGCTGTACCCACTTGAGACCCGATCCCGTGCGCGTACCCACCCCTATCTGGTTGTTTCTATTTCGGTTTCAATTACAAAATCCATCTTGAGTTTCGCGTGAATTGCTTCCGCCATGACTCCGCAAACAACAATCGAAAAGCGACTCATGCTCGTACCTAAGATTGCGAAAAAGCTTGGTAAACATTCTCAAAAACCCATAGAACCCCAAACGACTTGTGGATGGTTAGTTGGTAAGGCCCGAACCTAGACCAATGTGTTCTTATCACGCCCGTGGCCGTTGCCGAACCAACCGAGTCACCAACGTGACACATCTGCTAATTAATAACATCATAATTGCCATAATTATTGCTAATAGATCGCTAAATCGATTGGCTTTTGTTGCCATTCGAAAGCGAATCACTCCGCTAAGTATTAGCAGCGTGATACCCGTTATCCAACCAAATGCTTTTTCGGTATCTAAGTTGAAGTACATTCATTTACTTATCGCTTCCGATTTATCACGCACGTTTCGACTTTTAGTCGCAATTGCCCACTACAAAGTGTGATCATAGTCTATATTTTTGCACACTTTTTTGGGTAACTTATCTCACACTTCTTATCAAACTCTTTACCCCGATTCTTGGAAAAACCGTATCTCGAATGAAGCAAATCAAAGTCCTTCCTTACAAAACGCACTTGGAGATTGTTACAGCTGAGATTACGTGGTGAGCAACAGTCCACCTGTCCACCAGTACCCCCCATTCATATAATCAAATTCGAGATATGTTTGCTCTAATTAGTTCAATAGTTTCGGTACCTCTATCCATTTTAACCGCTTTTATGTTAGCAAATCTTATCTGGCATTGACCCTTAATGTTTGTACGTCATATCCTGGTCCAAAGTTCGAACTATAATTTTCTCCACGCAGTTGCATGATCTTTACCCACTTATAGTTACCACTTAAAGAGTCCAAAGTACGTAATCTATTTGTGTGTTTTAGTGATACATTAACTTTGATACATTCAGCATTTACGGCCCCAATTCCAGACACTTGGGAATTGGGAACCCCAAACCCATTTAATGGATAGACATCTGAACACAAAGTCACCGCAAATGATTGCCAAAACAGTTTAATCTTTGCAATTAGCAAATTAACAATAACAAGTAGAATTTTCATGTCATGTCAGAGAGAAGTCAGAGAAGTCTCACAAGTCGCCCTCCTCCAGCTTAAAGACCTGGCGATCCATGTCCGTGTAGCAGCCTTCGCTGGCCGGGTCATCCCTTTCCTCATCGAGCAGGCAGTAAATGTCGTCAATCTCCTGCTTGATGATCTCATTGCCGAGCTTCTTCCAAAAGGGGCGGCAGCGGTTCTTCCACTGGCGCAGATTGAAGAACGCGCAATATCGCGTCGTGGAGGACTTCAGCATGGCCATGTACAGGGGCGTGATCTCATCGGCCATCAGCTTGGCCAGCAAGTAGTTTGTCGTCTTCAGGCTGTGATCATCGTTGAAGTCCACGTAGATGCGCTTGGCCTGCTCGTAGCACTTTTTGGCAATGCTCGTCTTTTGTGTATCCTTGGCGAATATTTTGCCCAGATGAAGCAGAATCTCTGCCTCTGTGTCCTTGTGTGAGTACAAGCGCGAGAGACGTAGAGCTTTCTTGTAGCTGGAAATGGCCTTGTCGGGGTTTGCAAGGCTGCAAGAAATGATCAAACATGAGCCAAGGGTACCCCAAAGGGTACTCCACTTGCTACTTGCTACTCACATCTCGGCGCATTGTCCATGAAAGAGATAATACTTGATATTCAGCTTGACAAACTTGTAATCTGTGCAGGCTATGATTTGTGGTCTGATCTGCTCCAGGCACTGCTGGGCGGCATTGTAGTTGCCGCTCTCCATCAGAAAGTAGGCACGCTCCAGGAAGGTGTCACAGAAGATGTCCAAATTCTTCTCTCTGCCAACTAAGAGGAAATGGAATGGGTTCATGGATAAGCACAGACCCCAACTCACTTTCCGCAATAAGAACTGTGGCCCTGCGTGCTATGTCTATGGCCTCCTGCGGCTGCTGGCGCACAATCTGCTTGCCGTGGATGAGCAGCTGGCGTGCGAGATCCTGGGCCACCAGTTCGTGCAGCGTCTGGCTGCCGGCGCGCATGTCTGGCTGGGCGGTCCACACATGGCCACGCACCAAATTCATGGCAATCTGGAAGTAGCTGATGGCATCGGAGCGCTGTCCCAGGCGCACCAGGTACATGGCGTAGGTGTAGTAAATGCGAGCAACCATTTCAGCGGCATCCCGCTCCTGGCCTTCGATGTTGCGGCAAAGCCCCACAATGTGCTCCAGCACCGAGGTCAGAGCGTAACTGTACTTCTCTCTATGTGGCTCCAGCAGCACCATCGTCTGGTAGAACAGCGAAAAGCACTCCTTCAAGCCCTTCAGCTTGTGCCGGCGCACTGCCAGCTCGGCCTGCTTTAGATTTTCAATCACGGCGTACAGCAGTGGGCGATCGTCGGTGATTCGCTCCCGAATGTTGAGGCTGTCGTAGAGGCTCTGCTCCTTGCCGGCCAGACAGCGCAGAAATTCCGGCAACATGTGACATCCGGCGCAGCGCAGCTCCTCCTCGAGAGCCTCATAGACCGGACCCTTCACGCGTCGCGCCTCCTCGTAGCTCAGTGAAGTGATGCTCTTGCGTATCTGCTCCCGATCAAAGGTGACATCGCGAAAGGCGCGATGTGGAAATTTCGATTTGATTTGCCGCGAAAGCCGCATCATTTCCTTGTGTCGTTGCGCCATGATGAAACGCGAATTAAGTAACAAGTAAACTGTTTGTCAGGCTATTCCTGTTGAAGCTCTGATTTGTTTTTTGAATGATTTATAGCGGGTAAATAGATTGTTAGGATACGAATGTAACGTTCGAATGTATCGCGAGAGCTGCCCAGGCGTTGCCACATCAACAAAACAAATACACTTGGCACGCATTTAATGTATGAATGGTGCATTTGTTAGAGTTATTCTTAGAAATTTCGCAATTAAATCCTAATTCGACACACAAAAACCTGCAACGAATTTGTTTCTGTTGTTATCGAGCACTCGATATGCACATACAAAATTATCGAATATTTAATGGATAGCTGACACAAGCTGGCTGCTATGAAACAAGTCACACATGTGCTCGCGCCCAAACTGTTTTTAAAATATTTTATACATCATTTTGCATTTTCGGTCTGCTAAGATCCCAAATGCATGAGTTTAATTTAAAAATAATTTATGTGTGATGCGAAAATAGCAGTGGCATGAAATTTGCATTGACAAAATCCACAAAGACACTAATGCAGTCGGAAAATGACTCTTGAAATTGTTGCAAAACTGCAGAGACACTGAACCCTTGAGGTTGGGGCTTACTATGGCTTCGAGCAACTGGCACGTTGGCAGATAATGCCCAACTGGAGTGCTTCCACTTGATAGACAGACGACGTTGGGTAATTAAAGTCGTGGGCGAGATTGGACTTGGGCGCACTTGGTCGGCAAACGCGAAGCTGTCGACAGTTCAAATCAGAATTCAAAACTCTGACCAATTTCGCTTTCTTTTAGCAGAACACAAAATGGCCAACGAGGAGACAAGCTTCATACCCGATCTGCCAACTGGCGGGCCACTCTCGGTGTACCGCAAGCGGGCAAACTTTGACTGGAAGCGGCTGCGTTTGATCTTCGAGAAGGAGCAGGGACTGCGCATCAAGGTGAGTGTTAGTCGCTGACCAAGCCACAGACCAACTAACATTTACCCTCTATGCAATGCAGTACAAAGTGTGGAAGCGCTTGGAGAGCGACCCTCTCTTCGCACATGCCTCGCGCACGCTGCCGATGGACGAGCAGAAGCGACTGTGCGCCATGCAGGTGAATCGCATGAAGCAACTGGATCTGGTGCCCAAGGAGATCGAGAGCTTGAGCTTCTCCGCCAAGACCAAGTATTTGATGTACATAAACGAGGCGCTGGCCAGCTACTCGCCCAGTCTCTCGGTGAAGATTGCTCTGGGCGTGGGGCTGTTCAACAATGCCATTCGGGCACTGGGCACAGAGAAGCATCACAAATACATTGAGGCTGCGTGGAATCGTGAGGTAATCACATGCCTGGCCGTCACAGAGCTCTCGCATGGCAGCAACACCAAGAGCATACGGACCACGGCCACCTACGATCCGAGCACACAGGAATTTGTCATCAACACACCAGACTTCGAGGCGGCCAAGTGTTGGGTGGGCAACCTCGGCAAGACGGCAACGGTGGCCATGACCTTTGCCAATCTGTACACTGCCGATGGGCAGAGCCACGGCCTGCATGGCTTCCTCATCCCCGTGCGCGATCCCAAGACATTACTCTCCTATCCGGGCGTCCTCGTCGGGGACATTGGCGAGAAGTGTGGCCTGAATGGCATCGACAATGGCTTTGTGGTCTTCAGCAATTATCGCATTCCACGCGACAATCTGCTCAATCGCACGGGCAACGTCACCCCCGAGGGCGTCTACGAGAGTGTCTTCGCAGAACCGGGCAAGGCTCTGGGCGCAGCTCTGGAGAGCTTCTCCGCTGGCCGCATTGGCATCATGCAGGAGTCGGCCAATACCCTGTGCAGTGCCGCTGTCATTGCCGTTCGCTATGCTGCGGTACGCAAACAGTTTGGACCGGAGCGACAGGGCGCAGAGGTGGCCATCGTGGAGTATCAGTTGCATGTGAGTTTGCCTCGGTAGCGTATCCTTGCAGCCATCTATAATCCTTTTCCCTCAGCAATATCGCATCTTTCCCTATCTGGCTGCCGCCTGTGTGCAGAAGATCGCTGTCGAGGAGCTGACCACCACATATCTGGAGATCATAGAACGCTCCCAGGCGGATTCCAATGGCTTTGATATACTGGTGAGCCACACCCCAAATAATCCTCTTGAAATCTCTCTTATCTCTGTTTTGTTTTTTGCCTTTGCAGACCCAAAACGCCGCGGAGATTCATGCGCTGATATCCGCCTCCAAGCCGCGCATTACTTGGGCCGCCCGGGATGCCATTCAGGAGGCGCGCGAGGCTTGTGGTGGTCACGGCTATCTGGCTGCCGCCAAGCTGGGTCAAATGCGCACCGATCACGATCCCCTGTGCACCTACGAGGGCGATAACAATGTGCTGGGCCAGCAGGCTTCCAACTGGCTGCTGCGTCAGTGGGCGGCCAAGGAGCTGGAGACGCCAATTGGCAGCGTGCGATTCCTGGAGCGAAGGGAGCAGCTTATGGGCCTGCGCTACGCTCAACTTGTGGCAAAGAGTCCCCTTTCCAGCTGGGAATGTGAGTGGAAGTTCGGCAAGTCTCCCTGTGCGCTGACTAATCTCTCATTTTCTCTTACAGTCGCGCTCAGCTGCTATGAGTGGCTGCTCTGCCATCTGATGGCCCACACCACAGCCCACATTGAGGGTGAACTTGCAGCTGGCGGGAGCAAGTTTGATGCCCGTAACAACTCGCAGGTGGCCGGCGCCCGTGAGCTCTCTCTGGCCTACGCCGAGTACTTTGCCCTGTTCCGTTATGTGGAGCATGTGCGTCGCCTCAAGGTGGAGCCTGCGTATGGCAAGGTGTTGCGCCTGCTCTACGACGTGTACGCCATGTCGCTGCTGGAGAAGCACATGACCACCTTCTATGTGGGTGGATTTGCCCAAGGAAACGACTTTGCTGCAGCCGTGCGTAAACTCCTACTAGATAGCTGCCTGCAGCTGAAGGATGTGGCCGTGAGCGTCGCCGATGCCATTGCCCCACCCGACTTTGCCCTCAACTCGGTGATTGCCCGAGCCGATGGCCTGCTCTATGAGAATCTGCAAAACGAATTTATGACCAACGAGGGCGCCTTCCAGCGCTCTTCTTGGTGGCGTGACGTCATCATACCACAGCCCCAGGAGAAGTCCAAGCTCTGAAGAGTCCAAGAAGATGGGGGGTGAAGGTGGAAGGTAAAGACAAGTGCCTGATGATCGTCGCTGGTGGTGTTCCTAATACCCATCCTAAAGTAGATCGTAGTTATTGTTGTTGCCACACAAATTGTGGCAAATTTGCATTTGCATTCACCATACACTATGCCGTACATTCAAGTATTTTAAGATCAAATCTGTTACTACCCTACGATTCAGCATGTTAAATAATAAACATTAAATGATATTCCCCCAATAGAGAAGGGGGAGAAAGAACTGCCTGTGTCCCCAATTGGATTCGCACGATGATCGATGATAGAATTCATGAAATATAAACTGAAAAGTTGACAAAATCCCCGCAAAACTACGCAAAACAAAGATAACTGCATGAGGGGCTAGCACTTCAAATCTCTTTTAGGCTATCCTTCGTCACAAAAATGCTACTCGCCTGCGACAATGCGTCGGCCAGAGCTGAAGTCTTTGGCGCGGCACAGTGTGAACTCAACCGAAAATAAGCGGCAAAAGTCCAAAACTTTATGAGCTCTTTGGATATACATACGCATCTAATTGAGTATTTTTCAGAGTTTTAAAATTTAAAATTTTAATTTTCAATTTAATATATATGAATGTATGTATGTATAATTCACTCAAAGTAGAAAACTGTTTCAGTTATGCAAAAATTAATCGAACTCTCATTCCCTTATCTGAAATGGCCCATTGTGCAATGGGGCTGAGGATCGAGAGTTGAAACTTCTGCGTGCGCAGCTGGGTCTCGGTCACAGACGAAGCATAGGCGAAAAGAGAATTGCGACCCCACGCGCTCTGTATGCTGTGCGTAACGGTGCACCCAAATTGCAGGGAGATTCGTACCAAGGTGCTTCGCCATCATGGAATACTTCGCGATTCAAGTAGGTCTGCTTTAAGTTGATCAGCTCTTGGCTGTGTTTGTCCAATCTACTGCCCAATAAACAAAGAACAAAGGCATATAAAATGCTAAAAGCTTTTGCCAAACGTAACTCTTTCGATCGAAAAGAAGCAGCAAACAAACGAAACTATTTTTTTGATTTTTGTTTTTGCATTCTAATTAGTCAGCCATCAACGTGAAGTTTACTCTCTCACATTGATTCCCTCAAGCGTAGGAGAAACCGAACGACAGTATCATATCATCGTCGTCGTCGTCATCAGCAGTCAGCCACAGGTGTCAGCCCGGTTATAAGAGGACCAGCCTGGTCTACGATCCGGCTCAGACGTTCCACAGTTGCGGCACAGTGAAGAAGCGCGAGAGAGAGCGGCCGAGAGAATCTGCCACCGAAATCTAACAACTGAACCCGACAAAAAAACTGGTCAAGAACCGAATCACTGAATAAACACATCATTAAGTGAGTCGAGGCGGAACGCTGGGTTGTGTCGCTGTTCGTAGTGTTTCGGGACTCAGCTGTCGAGCTCTCCCAGCGATCTCTACAATATATTATTGTTGGTTTTGCCAATTTGTGGCGCAGTTTTTGTTTTGTATTTGAGTTCAGAGTGTCGATTCTGTATGTATGTGATGTGTTGTTGGGAGCTTTATCAGCAAAATGCGATTCAAATGATGATGCTCTACGAGTGTACCAATCAGAACATTTCACTGAACATCAATGTCATGGCATTGTAAAGGCCAAAGTAACAGAATGTGTTGTCGTGTTCTCTTCTAAAGTGCGACTCGAGTGCCGAGTGCCGACTGCTAAGTGCCGTTCCTTTGTTTTGTGCCGTGCCGTGCCGGGGGAGCACAACAAAAAGTTGTGCAAAAAAGTTGCTAATTACAAGTCATATGCGGCACTTAATGTCCAAAAATTGAAATTAGAAAAAACCAAATTATAAATCATCTGACACGACCGGTTATGGCTTAGTCCAAAAAGTCCAACAAAACTCATTCAATTAGAACAGAAAACACTTCAAGTAAAGAAATCTCCGCTCCCACGACAGCTCTTCTGTAAAAAAAAAACCAACAATAAAAACATAAACAAATTGGAATATAAATGACAAACAGAAAACAAAGAGATCTTCTTGCTGCTTAAATTTCTAAACGTTGAACAAAAATGATTGAAAACCGGTTCGGTTCGGTCCTCAATAATATATGTACATAGTCATATGGAGATCGATTAATTTACATTTTGGGGATTTCCGTTTTCAATTTGGGGTGGTCTCTCTCCCTCTCTGTCTCTTTCTTTGTCTCTCTTGCCCCCCCCCCCCCCCCCCAGCACAGAATTGTTTGTGATTTTTGCAAAATCATTATTGGAAAATCGTGTAAAGGCAATTAAACGGGCTTTGGCTGCCTGCACAATTTATGAAATGTTGGCAATTGTTAATTATTGGTTTCATAGACAGACTCCGGTTGTGTGGGATAGTCGGGGATGTACCTCTGTGGTGGGTTGGAGTGGAAGGGCTGCTTATGATAATGAGTGAGAAAACAATAACCAGATGAGCTTCTCCGCTTACACAAGCTTCCGCTTGGATCAATGGCAGATTTGCGTATCCAAACATCACATTAAAACAATATCCATATGCATCCCATCGCAGAGCGCAAACCTGTTCGTTTTGCACTAATTAATGAACCAGTTTTTTCATCATCACTCGACTCTTTTGTTTGTCTTCCTTTGGCACAGCTCAGACCCCAATGCGATTGAAGTAGAATGTGGAAATATTTGCTGATTTGTGTGGTGATGAGTGCCCTCAACGAGGAATCTTCGGCGGGTAAGTACAGTCCCAGTTCCAGCAAAAAATCCTTTCAACTAAAACTTCCTGCATTTTAGCTGGCCAGCAGCCGAGACGACGTCGCGGTTATACCGGCGGCTATGCTGCCGGCATTGCCAGCAGCGGCGGCGGAGGCGGAGGCGTGGGCCACAGCAGCTATGTGAGCACAGGTGGCGGTGGAGGCGGAGGCTACTACGACTACGATGACTATGATGGCAACTCGCCCAACTTTGGCATCATCGATCCGTATCTGTTCCATCAGCAGCTGACGAACCACATTCTGGCCCAGAACTACGCGAACCAACAGTGAGCACGGCGAGGGGGTTGAGCCTCGATTTTTGGGTAGTCTTTAGTGAGGGATAAGGGGTAAACCTAACCGCTTGTTCCTCTGTTTTTGTAGAGCTATAACGGGTCTGGCCACGGCTGGCAATGCTTTTGCATCTGCGGATGCCTCTCTAGTCGACGACGACGACACGTAATTACTTGCAGCTAACTGCTAACACACAACTAACCCACCTAAACCGCAGCTAGACTAAGACTAATCCTTTGGGTCTATACTTTACAGTCGCATCCAGCAGCAGATTGCCGCACAGCAGGCCTACCACGACAATCTGGTGCGTCAGAACCGCTACAGGGGAGGCTCGGGTTCGGGCTCGGGCTCGGGCTCGGGTTCATCCAGCGGCTCCTACAACTCCCATCGCTATGCACCCAGCTATGCCGCTGCCTCGGGCTCCATTGGACCCAATGGGCATCGCCAGACGGCCTACATTAGTCCTGCTAATGCGGTGAGTAAACACTACTGATCCTTTACCAGATCCTTTCCTAACGCAACTCCTTTTTCTTCCACAGGCCTCGCCCAACATTGTGAATCGTTTCGGTGGCTCATCCTCGGGTGGTGGCGGCGGCTACAAAGGAGTCTCCGTCTCCTCCTACAGCCACAGCAATGGCGATGGCACCAGTCGTCGCGGTGCTCAGACCACTGTCAATGACAATGGTAAGGTCACCTCGTACTCGACGCACTCTTAAAGGGATTCCAATCGTTTCAATATCGACTTACATTTCGTTTCGTTTGTATGACAGAAAAAATAAATATTTTTTTCTACGTATTTTTTTATTATAAATACGAGTAAATATTCGCGGACTTTCTCATCTGGTGGGGGTTTCCAATATGGAGCTTTCTTTTTATTAGAAAGTTTCCATCTCGCTTTCTGCAGGCAGGGCCAAAGCGCGGCACACCCATAACGCATAACACATCGAAATTTAATTTCAAATGAAATGCAAATTGTTTGATAACCTTGATTTTGATTTTGCTTAATCTTATGTACAATGCCTTACACCTACGAGTGGTCCAGTTGTCGTATTTGTTGCTCTATATATAAATGAATATTTGAGTTTGTTCCTTGTATTGCTGTGATTATAGTTTATGTACGCGGTTTCAAGGGTCTTCTGTTGCTATGTTGCTTTTTGGAACAATGAAACAAATCTGAGCTCCATGTAAGCTCTGTGGGCAGTGTTCTATCTGTACAACCCTAAGAACTATTATTTACGAATTTAAATTGAAGAATTCATTAAATTATTCCCAAACAAAACTCTCTGGCTAGATTTTGTTTTATTTTATGTTTTTTTACGGTTGAGTGGACCTTATCAGGGGTGACAGGAAATGATCTAATACCTAGGGGACAATATTCGAAAGAATATAAAAGAAGAAAACGACGTACAAAAAGTTTGGCAGAATTATTCAAGGTCTTGGGAAAACGTACAATATATAATTTAAAAAAACGAGAAGGGACGTGTGAGACGCTGCTTACGCGTCACAGCTCATATTATTACACTTGTAACAGTGTGAGCATACAGAAGTCTCGATGCAAAATTGGGTGGCTCTAGCTTTTACAGTCTCTGAGATCCAGGCGCTCAGCAAGACGGACGGACAGACAGACAAATTGGCTCGCCTATTGATGCTGATCAAGAATTTATATACTTTAGGGGGTCGGAAACGTTTCCTTCTGTGCGTTACATACAACCGCATTAAAGGGTACTCTTCGAGTACCTGGTATAAACAAATTTCTATTTCAAAACTCGTAATCTGCATCGCTGAGCACGAAATTCTTGTTCCCATTTAGTCACAAACTTTAATTGAGATTTTTGTTTCTCAATAAGAATTTGTAACTTAAATGGAAACAAGATTTTGCACTCAGCGATTTGGATTGGGCAACAGAATAGAAGAGTATCGACCCGTCTTTTCACAGGCAAATCAAAAATATATTCTTCATCTATGCATATTCGTATAATTTGCTGGGATCGTAGTGGCTCCCTTCTGTGTGAAACATCTAAGCATCAGATCGTCATCCAATCAGATTGAACTGATTGTTATCATCTCATCGAATGCCCCGCCGGAAGTCATAAAACTGTATCCAAGTTTGTTTACAAAACAAAAAACTAAAGCCGTAATCGGAATCGCTGAGAACGAAATGTTGTACTTCCTCAAAACTAGGCTCAAGGTTGCCTATGTGTTCCTTTACCTTACTCTCAATTTTCTAAGTTCAAGCTCAGCTAATTGCAATCAGCTACCGCACACATGTGCATATAGACACCCAATGATCTGAACAATTATACATGGCAACCATATACAACGGGTGTGCTGGAGGCCGATCAAGGTGCTGCGAAACCAACACAAACACAACCCAACAAAAATGTAGAATAAATCCATAAATATACAGGCAGATGATGTCGCAATTAACTTTCATCATTTGAGCTTTCTGCACCAATTGCGAGCTCCATTTCGAGGTATATGGTAAACATTATCAGTGCCGCGGCATCCTCTCTAGGTCAAGAATCAATCGGTTCAAGTCTGAGTTGGTATATGGATGAATGGATGGATGGATGGATGGATGGCTGGATGGATTTGATGTTGTCGCTTATCAGCGATCGGCGTTGTGTCTTCAACGTCTGGGCTTTAAAGCGCGATTCCATTCGCTCGATTCATTAGTACAATTTCAAGCATCGAGCATCGAACGTTTTCCGCACCAAAATAACATTTTCCCTCAACATGAATAAGCTGCTTATATTGGCGCTGTGCCTGGGTGTGGCTACTGCAGGTAGAACATTTTGAAATATAATCAAGAAAAGTGATATTTTGATCCTGTGAATGATGTGATGTCCGTCGTCATCGCGTATTTTCCACTGAATGAACTACGAACTTGTGTAATATTTACACGTGGCGATAAGGCAGCTTCTTACATCATGTTTCGATTAAACAACTAATGAGATTTTCTGTCTCTTTACAGATTTCCAGGGCAGGTAAGTGTCGGGGGGTTGTCATTTTTGACCGAGCTTTCGACTTATGATGATCTCTCTTTCATTCTGCAACGATGACGTGTCGTGTGGGTAGACTCAAGCGGGACGACTTTCATAGTCGGTAAGTGCCGTGTGGCAAATGTTGATGAAAAATATTTACAATTTTCCCCATTGGCAAGCAACATGGTACTTCAAAATTCAAAACCCAATCTGAGCTCTCTTTCCCACTCTTCTGTCTGTTCTAATTTGGACTTTTCTGCACCTCCCTTAGCCACTATACTGCCCACCAGCAAGCCATCGAGACAGCACGCAAGAATGCGGGCTATGGCTCCAGTGGATCGGCCAGTTTTGGGGCAGGCGTTGGTGGCGATGCCAGCAGTTTGGGCAACCTGGAAAGCTCCTACGATTCCGTTGGTGCCGTAGATACCGCCGGCCAGGGCAGTGCCAGTGAGTCTTTTGGTGCTGGCTCAAACTTTGGCCACGAATCTGGCTTTGGCTCCCAGAACGCTGCTTCCTTTGGCTCCCAGAACGCTGCTTCCTTTGGCTCCCAGAACGCTGCTTCCTTTGGCTCCCAGAATGCTGCTTCCTTTGGTGCCCAGAATGCTGCCCAGTTTGGTGCCCAAAATGCAGCTTCTTATGGCGCCCAGAACGCTGCCCAGTTTGGCTCTTCGTTTGCCAGCAATGCCGCCTTCAAGACCAGCCACTCGTCAAACTTTGGAGCTGCTGCCGCCCACAATGTGGGCAGCAATGTGGAGTTTGCCGACAACTCGAATGCCGGCGCTGAGGTTAACTTTGGCGCTGCCAACACTTTGAACTCGGAGTCCCAGCTCGTCAATGGAGTGCAACAGACGGTCCAGACAGCGCCCGTGAGGGGCGGCGCCAATGTCGAGTACGTTCGCCATGAGCAGATTGTGTCCCAGGCACCCAGGCAGATTGTCTACTCCGCTCCCTCCGGCGGCAGCGAGAAGTACGTGCATCTTGTGGAGCGCGTTGTCGAGCAGCCGGCACCAGTGCAGATCGTCGCGGCGCCAAGCAGCACTCAGCACTACTACCAGCGCAAGGTCACAACCACCGCATCGGCTCCCCAGATTCAGGTGCAGCAGCCATCCAGCCGTTTGTCCTACGGCTCCAACTTTGGCTCCAACACAGCCTTCAACACAAACTTTGGCAGCTCCTTCGGCCATTCGGCAGGCCTCAATGTCCAGCAAGCGGGCAGCTCGCAGCTGCATCAGCTGATTAACCAGGCACATCAGACAGCCAGACAGCAGGCAGCATCCGGCACGGTGAGCACTGGCTCCGGACTGTCCACGGCCGGCGGCTACAACAGTGGCCTCAGTGCCAACCAAGTTGCGCAGACCCAGACGGGCAGTGGCTATGGGGCCAACACAGGCTTCGGCTCCAACTCCGCATTCAACTCCAACTCTGGCTTTGGCTTCAACTCTGCCAGCTCCTTGAACTCCGCCAGCTCCTTGAACTCTGCCAGCGCCTTGAATGCGGGCAGCAGCGGATCTCTGCTGAGCGGCTCTCTTCTGAGCGGCTCTCTGCTGGGCGGCACTCAGGGCTCTCTCCTGGGTGGTCAGAGCAACTTTGGTGTCTCCGGCGGACTTGCCAGCGGACAGCAGCAGCAGCAGGCATCTGGTGCTGGCAACTTTGGAGCCAGCGGTGCCGGTGCCGGTGGCTACCAGACCAAGCAATGGGAGAAGCAGTCCAAGTGGTCCTCCCAATCTGAGGTGAGTTGTGCTCGACACGAGAGTTGAACAAATTTCTATTCAATGCGTTTCTGCCTCCCACAGTTCGACTCGGACGGTCATGTGAAGAACTACAAGGATCTGGCCACTGGCGAGAGCGAGAACTACAATGTTAATGGAAAGCAATTTGGCTACAACGCGGCCACCGCTTCCGTTGATGACAACGGCAAGGTCAGCACCTACAGTGTCCACTCCTAAGCAGCAAATGACCTTTCGCGCTCTGAAACAGAGCTCTGAGATTTTGTGAATCTATAACGAAATGATTAAATATTTAAACATTTAAAACTTTATTATGGGGCTGGCATAGGCGATCTGCTGACAACAAAATATTTAATTTTTCAAACTTATTAAAAAGAAATGCCCGAAAATTGCTAGAAGCTTTGCTTAAAAGCGAAAGCGAAAGCAGCAAAATCTGATGGGAAGAGGGGGAGAACGGTTGCAGTAGCAGCACAGAAAGTTTCGTGAGCGAGAGAAAAATAACAGTTATTCACGTTTGGCTGATGGGGAGAAGTGATAGAACAGCAAAAGCTATGCCAAGAGAGCGGGTTAACTGTAATGAGAGGCAATGTGAAGACACAACAATCCCGGCGCATAAAATTAATAAATAAACTATGTATGTATGTATGTATGTATGTTGTCACACAATTAATTGGCATGCATTTGCAGTTAAGACCGTTGTGATTTTTTCGGTGGAGTACTTATTTGTATCCCGCTACGTTGAGCGGTAGCTAAAAGTAGCGGCAGCGGTGGCTGTTTAGAGCGGTGCAATTAATGCACTCACACATCTATACATACAGTACACGTACCTGAGACAGGTGGAGAGCGGCGGTCTACACCAGCAGTCTGTCTTCTCTCTAGCTGCCCCTCTTTGTGCATTCATCTGCTCCCGCTGGACTTTCCGAGTGCTTGGCGTACCTTCGCTGTCGATGCACTCTTCTCTGCCGACTTATTGATGAGTGCTCTCCTCTTGGCTTTGGCATGGATCGCTGTAATCGGTTTTTGCTTTATCCGGTCCCGTTATTTTGACCAGAGCCGTGCAGATATTTGGCACCAGAGCCAAATATAGAGAAGACATCTTGCGCCTAGTGATGGTCCAAGCCGATACTAATGGTTAATGAATCGTGAATTAATTGTTTCTTATTACAAATTTAACGAAAACATTTATTTACAAATGACACTGCCAGTGCATTCGGATTATTGAATTTAAACTAAAAAAAAATCCAATTATGTAAAATTGGGAAATTTTTAATTTGTCTGATTAAGGACATGCCAGTAAAAACAGTATAGTCCGCGAATAATTTTGCTCATAATCGTGTGGTAAAACATTTTTGGTTGTATCTAAGATAATAATGCGATCTCTAATGCATACCATTGGGAGCAACTGACACTACGAGAGACTAAACGAATACGAATTTCGATACTAGCACGCTAAAAATTCTTCATAAAAGTAAAAAACATGAAATTTTATTATTATTGTGAAAGTAGAATACATATCCAGCATGTTGTTTCAAGAGAAGGGTTTTTCGAGCTTGCCATCGATCACCTGCACCACTCCACTATTGATTTTGGCTCTATTTCCAACTGCTATTCCCCGACTAGCCTTGCTGTCCCGCCGACGCCTGTAATCGGTGGAGGACATGCAGTAGCAGGGCTTCCAGCTGGGCCTGCGGTAGATCTGGCTCTGCTCCTGTGGTGCTCGTTCTGTTGTCCACACTGGAACGTAGTGAGTCCAAGTCTCGCCTGTGCGATGAATACTCCCTGAGCCAGATCCTCCACTGTTATATTCATGCTGTGGATAGTACTGTGGGTAGTATGCGCCTCGACTGCCTCCTGCCTCATAGCCGCGATGCTCGCTGGAGTAGTTGGGATTCCACTGTGACTTTGGATCGTAAGTCTTGTGGGTCTTGTGCTTGGAGTCGCTGCCACCGCGGCCCTTATAGATGGGCACACTGGCGTCCTCTAAAATTGGGAAGGTGTGAAATGGGTTAAACGAGACTGAAAGTGGACATTGGACTCTCACTTTCTCACTCACCCTTTTCGCCATGGTTCTGGGCCGAGCTAGTTTCGTTGCCCTCCCCCTCGGAGGTTATTTCGAACGTGATGTCCGTGTGGATGCCCACCCGCTTCTTGTGCTTGCCGCTGTCCGTAATTTCCACGCTCTCTTTGGACTCTTTACAGTTTTGTTTGGGATTGCAATTTTTACTCTCTTTTTCGTTGCATTTCAAGCTCAGAGCTTTGGTGTGGGTGAGTGCCAATCTAATTACCTTTAGTTTGCTGCTGTCCATCGCCCGTATCAACGGTTACCCGCACGCCGTGTATCTTTGGGCGATTGCTGCTGCTTCCACCACCTCCACCTCCTCTTTCGTTGACAGTTGTCCTGTCTCCGCCTCCGCCAAAGCTGCGACCCGTGCCCTGATCATAGCTGCCACTGCCATTTCCACCCTCTGCCTGCATTCCGGGCTGCTGCATCCCTGTCCGGTTTCCGTTGCTGCTGGAGATGCCATCGCTCTCATCGAAATCCAACTTGGATGACACTTTATTCGCCTGACCTGGTTGCGCGCCACATTCCACGTCCCACGTCCCACGTTCCACGTTCGGTGTTGTTTGTTTTCGATTTAGCATAGAAATTAGATTTAGCAGAAATTTAATTAAAGTTATGCAAACACTTGCAACCATCTACCCCTCCATCCTGTTCCCTCCCCTCGGCTTTCCTCAGCTTCGACTTTAATCAGGTGAATTGGAGCGTGTCCGCCAACGCCACAGCCATGAGGTTCGTGGCTTCTACTCGTACTCGTACCCCTAAGTGGTGCAATTAGCACACGCTGACTTATTTATGGATGCATCGCATCGCTCGTAACCCATCTGGTTGACTGAGCAGAGCAGAGTCGGGTCAGAGGCAAAGTGGAGCCACTGCACCAGCGGAATTATACTTATTGGATTTTTCCCAATCAAAAACGGATTAGCAACGGGCTGTGACCGCTATCTAGAGGCCAACCCCTGCATGGCTGATGACTTAAGGGCCATCAATAAAATTACAAATAAGTCTTTAAGGGAGTTTGCATCAGTGGAAGTTTACTTGGATCGCAAGCCATTTAGATCATAATTTTGAGCTTGGAAATTTTTGATTTTATTGAAAATTTTAGCACCAGAACAAAGAGGTTAACCATTGAAGGATGATTAATATATTATCTTCATGCAAATAATGAGCTTTGGAGCTTCATCTATTAGCAATTATTTATTGGATTCGCATTGTCGTGCTTCCCCCACAACTGGAATTATCCCCAATTTAAAAAGAGACACGCAATTGTTGCCCAAGTCAGTGGGAGGAGCTGCCACCTGTCGTTTGATTGATTATTTTCTACCAATTTGCTACTCGTAATACCTTGGACACCGCGATGAGTTAACAGAATGATGCACAGCAATGACAAGAGGAAGGCGGTGAAGGAGCTTGATATTGGCAACATTTCGCCTTGCAGCACACAGAACCCAACAATAAATGCTGGAGCAGGGGGTATTTTGTTGCGGTTTTTATTGGTGTTTTTTGCTGTTGTTGGCAGGAGTTTCGTAATCGACACTTGAACTTTGAGCGCGTCCCGTGTGCACACTTGAAAACCGCCGACAAACAACTAAGCAAAGCGAACCGACTCGAGACGAGATGAAACTGAACAAAACCGAGTCCGAATATACCTGTGGAGATTCATTAAAATTAACTGGCAAAAGCTGGGGAGTAGAAACAAAAAAAAAAAAAAAAAAAAAACGTTTGCTTGTGCTTCTAATTCTAAGTGTTTCCATTTCAGTGGACTTTTGCCGTTTGTTGTTTGCCTTCTGCTGCCACTGCCGCTTGAGCTTTGCAGATAAGATCTTGACTTGATTTTGGTCGTAGGTTCGTAAGTGAGTTGTTGCTGGTGCACCTAATCGAAGGAATGTGTAAGGCGGGTGGCAGCCAGCCCCCTTCCTTTCCATCCCATCCCATAATTGTCTCTAATCGTCTGGCTGGCATCTGCTGTGTGATTGTTTTGATGTAGTTTCCGTTGTATCTTTAAGATTCCATTGTGTATCGGGTGAACCTTTTTGTTCCGAGCTTAGTTTTATTTCTGTGCTTTGGGTTTTTCATAATGCTCTCATCGTTAATCATGGGACGAGCGTTTATCTATGGATATTGCCATTATATTCTGAGGCAATTTTGACAGCGCAAAAACGATTATCATCATTAGGCCACAGAATGCGGAGGCGGCTCCGTCTCAAGTTCAAGCCTCAAATTGCGTTGTATTTGAAGGTTTATCTGGTTTATATTTTGGGGACTTTCTTATGCGAGTTTCATTATTATTTTCTACCCTCGCAATGTTAATTCGACAGCTTCCTCAATCCTAATGAAGCATTTTCCCATTTGTCAAACAACGCCCCGAATCAACCACTTTCTCAAGAAAGGAAATTGCATTAGAAGTATCATCTAGATGTGCACCCCCTTAACAACCCCCCTTAACCGCACATGTTGGAATAATAATGTCAGGCCAAACAAATGTATGGGCCATAAATTCATCCTCCCTTCCTCATTTGGGGGGATCATCCTTGGTTGGAATAACAGGAGTGCGCCAGGTCCAAGGCAATTAATTAGCAATTGCATTTGGTGCTGTCATTACGTGTGATAATTAAAAGGCCTCCCCGGCCTCCACTCACCAAAGAAGCAGCAAAAGAAATCCTGCCAAATGTATGACCATAAATTGTATGCCCTTTGGGCCTGGCTCTTACTCTGGTCCCCATTTCCGTTCCTGTTCAGCTGCAAATGCACTTTAATCTCGAATTTATCAAGCGTAATAGTTTTGCCCTTAGTGCGGTGGAGGAACCTTTTGTAATCTCAGGGATTAGACAGGCGCACCAGGACATGCACGTGGGTGAGCCCTCCCCTTACACTCACACTCGTTGTGTGCCCATTAAGCAGATGGATTTCGTTGTCAACTTTTTTAATATACTTCTGGCTTGGCTGGACTGTGGTCCGGAATCTGCATCTAAATCTGCCGGTTCTGAATGTGTTTTTGATCTCTCTGCCTCTCGACCTGGCTCTGACTGACAGCTTCTTGTTCTGGCAAATGTTTTGCATAAACTTTTGCCTCTGCTTACATCAACTTAATTTTCATTGTCTCTATGCATTTGTGCTGCACTCGGCGGACCAGAGACCAGCGACCAACGACCAACGACCAACGACCACCAACCAGATACCAGAGAAGTTCAAGTGCGTTTCCAGCGAATGGCTTGCATAATTCTATGGGTACTTGAAGACCGCTAACACTTGGAGGGAATAAAGTAGAGTTTCAGTGCTGAGTGCGTAATCGCTGGCATAGGCTTGTGGAATTATTTGGCCATTTGAATTTGTTGTTCCCCATAAATAATAATTACACAACTATTCATATATTTATTTTAATAGCAGACAGTAGTCGGAATATCTACAGACACACAACACCTACTCGTAGCAGCAGCAGATGCAGCAGCAGATGCAGATGCAGATGCAAAGATACAACATGTTTGGGCCAGGCAAAAGACAATGAACGGTGCCAGACAGTCGCCGGTTGTGGCCATGTTGGCTTTGCCAAAACAATTAAAATTGCCAAATTCAAAATCGAAATATACAAATTTACAAATTTATGCGTCTAGCTGCCAGTTACAGTTTTTAGAATATTGCTGTTGGAAAATGCCTATCCCAATTCCATTCCATCCCCTCCACTCTCCCAGAGTAAATTGCACAATTTTCCAGGGGCATGGGGCCAATGCCTGAACTAATGAAATAATGGGCCGAGCGAATTAAATTATGGCCCAGGCATTCCCCAGGGGCCCCAAGGACCTCTAGACAATAACTAAATTTGCACCCACGTTGGGTTGGAGTTTTCATTTTCTTTTTTTTTTTTGATTGCATTGTTGCCCTTTGATTTGCAACCACTCGAAGCGAACGGAACCCCAGCAATCACCCACCAAGGGCCATCCGACACCTCAGCGGAACAACCCACCCCGCCCGACTTCGTCCACCTCGATCCGTTTCCGAGTCCTCCTCCTCTTCCTCATTGCCTATTCATAATTTTGTCTCTCCCTCTCTCTGCTGGCACATACAATTTTTATTATTTGCTCGTTTACGGATTTCTCTCTCTCTATCTCTCTCTCTCTCTCTCTGTCTCTCTTCCCGTTCGCAATTGCTCTTTGGATATTCGTTTGCTCGGGTTTATCGTTTTTCGTGTAGTGCGAAATTATCACAAAACTCATTGAATTTCCTTTTATTGTTGTTGGCTGTCGGCTGTCGGCTGTCGGGTGTCGACTGCCAAGCAGCAATCACACCCACCCTCCCCTGCGAAATCATCATTCGAGTGCAGCGGAAGAGCCAAAGAGCGTCGGCGGCTGCTTCTGTCGTCTTATCGTCGCCTTTGTTGTATCGCGTTCGGTCGGGAATGTGTGTGGCGGGGGGCAGGCACAGTGGGTCGAAGTCAGTTTCCACTTTGATGAGCACTAATCTCTGAAAGGAGTGCGAGTATCTCCATAACCGTAACCATTCGATTACTTAGAAATATTATTTTCTATTTTAATCTTATCTGCCGAGAAATCTCCCGCTGTTTCATGGCATAAGTATTAAAATAATATCGACAAATTCCAAAAGTATGCAAAGTATAATTGTATTTAAAACTGTTGCTAATTTGGCTCGAGTATCACAACGAAAATATAAAATATAAAGTAAAGTCACAGTAAAGTACTAGTATCTATTCAAACATTTCCGATGTGTGGCTGTGCGTAGAATCGCAGCTGCTTCCAACACTGAGACTTTCTGAAGCAGACTTAGACAGGTAAACATCTTGGGTTCCAGCGCAAAATATCAGCCTACTCTGCTCCTGCAGCGTGTAAGCCATCTGCAGCAGTTTCTGTACTTCGTCGTCAAACTCAGAGTGCTGGGCCGAGTAGTGCACCGCTGAAGCATCCTCCAAGAAATCGATTACGGTGTCCAGTGCCTCCATTCCCGAGATGACAAGTTGCATGCCTGCCCTTCGTGTGTCTACTGTATGAGCGGGTGCTTTATGCGAGTACTTTCTGCGACGAAGTAGAAAGTGCGAGAATACTCCAAACACAGCCAGGCTAGCGCTCAATGAGATGATCCAGACCTTTGCATTGGTGGAGATCGAAGGGGATGCCATGTTGGTGTATTTTGTTTGTTTCTCGAATTAGTTGAAGTAATTCTAACATTTCTGATTGTTTGACTGCCTTCAAAACTGCTTCTAAGCCTTCAGTTTTTTTTCACAGTTTCCCCATGGTGTGTCCCACTGTGCATGCAATGTTTCTGTCAGCGCCGCCACCTCCACCTTTCCCACAAAGAGCTGGCAGGTTGCTGGAGAGCAAAAAAGTTGGTTTAAGGTACTCGAAAATGAAAATGCTCTCTAGCATCGTTTGGAGGGCTGCTGCTTCTGTCGCTGTGGTTTGGTGACCATCCGCCGTCACCCCCGCAACGTTCTACACCCCGGCACTTAGCTGACAATGAGCAGTGACAGCTACGAGCGGATAGGGGGGTGGAGCGGATAGGATTCCACCGCCGGGATGTTCCATTGAGAGCCGCTTGCGGTCGTGCCACAACCCCAAACGCCAGGACTCGGACCCAGACCAGTACCCGTACCGTCTGCACGTCTGTTGCATCTGTCGCATGCCGGAACTAAACGACAACAGAGGAACGGAACCCGACACAAGGGTAGTNGGAACCCCGGACAAGGGGGGGCCCCCCCCCCCCCCCCCCCCCCCCCACAGGGACGGGAATGCGAATGCAGTCGATAATGATGTGTAGGCAGGGGCGATTATGATGAGTTTGATAGAGACAAGAACTCCTCGACTTGACACGCATGATTTAGTGTCCCGACCCCTACCCTGTGTCTCGTTTCGATTCCATTTCGCAAATTGCAAATAAGTCGCCCACTGCCCGACCATGGGTCCCCGGACCGTGTCGTGTGACAATTCTCGCAAATTATGTATTTTTTTTTGTTGTATTCCAGCAGCAGCGGCAGCCAACCTAATCCGATTATTGCTGCTGAACCCGGGGACAGGTCCCAGATCCAGGTTCGCGCTGCACTTTTGTGTATCTCGTTGCCAGCATATGGCATGCATGGATAGTGGAGAGGATGGAGGTCTGCACTTACACTCATTGTTCGACCTCTCCCACACTCCCGCACAAACATGCCCCGCCCCATAATTGGATTTCGATGACTGCAAATTGGTGATAATTTCGATTTGCTTCCGGGCAGCTTCCACGGACCACAGAACGCACCGTGCACCGCGCATCGCGCACGTGATTCGTGAAAAAGCGACCAGCTGTGCGCTCTGTACTCTTTATGTCTGGTCGTGACCGGCTAAACAGGGATTGCAAATGGCTGGAATGGCCTCTTTGCAGACAGTGGACTCTAAGCCCCGACCTTACAGTTACGGAGGAGGTGAAACTAAGCCCGAACCTAGACAATTTCCTAATCACCCATTAGCTGATAAGACCGGGCATATGAATGCGAATGCATTGCTGCAGATGGACAGACAATACAGACTTTAATGTTGGTTCTCATCTTGCAGCTAGCTGGCTCAGGATCTCAGTTGCACGGCGAACTATGTCCAGTTGGGAGACAGAGCGGCAAGCCACTGTCATACTCCA